AAAAAATTCTTTTTCTCGGCATGACCGATCCCTACCACACGTGGAAAAGGCTGAGCGGCAGCCGCCCAAGATTGATTGGGATTCGGCCAGTTCAACCACTGTTTATGTATCCGGACCGACTTTCCTCTTGAAGCCGACCACAAAGGTTCGCGTCCGATCCTTGGGATTATAAGCCATAAATGCACATGATAGGTCGCCTATTATGGCTCTACCCGGATAGAGGGTGAGATATCCTCCAATGTACGTCGAAACAGCAGGCCGATCCGCGGTTCTAAACAACCACATCGGTGGTGGTCGGTGGTGGTCAAAATATCCTATGCTGAGAGGTTGAGAACAATCCCAACAGCCACAAGGTAGCGGTCGCATATCGAGTCGATTCCCATCACCGTCAGAGCCATGGCGTCTTTATTGGATACAGATTATCACCGTTGTAATCATGCCCCACAAGATCGGCACTGATCTTCATGTGAGAGCGCTTGTTTAAGACAGCTTCTGTATCATCGACCACGTCGAGGGGTCAAAGGATGCCCAGAAATAGACCCTGAATTCATTCTATGGCTCAGAGAGCTTGCCACCAACAAAGAACGAGGCTGGAGGGACGTCGTAATAAACATATCACGCCAATGCTTGTGGCTTTTGCACTGAGCCCTTTTATCAGGCGCAGTGGGTCCATTGCCACCGCAACCCCGAGGCTGTACAATAAACTTGATAGTCTGGTGCTGGCCAGTCCCACATCGCCGATCAGCACGGCCAGACACGTTCCCGCCAAACCTTGGGTGTCGGACCCTTGGATGTCATCGTTGCACCATGGCTCGAGGTTGATAGCTCCAGGGCAAAATCCAGGTCCCTGGCTACTGCAGGTCCGAAGGGTGTTCCGTCATTCGCCAACACAGGACAAGCAAAGCCACTAACCTCCTACCGACGTCGGCCATAGCCCGGCTCCCGACGATGGGATCCCCATGTGTTGTTACCATATCTAGCAGTAAAACGGTAGAGAAAAAAAAATCATGGCGGCTGAAGCGGAGGAATCTCACCGTAGCCGCCAGGCAGCGACCTTCACACTGGATCCGATGCCATTATAAAGGCCCACCTCATTCCAGAGACGGTTTCCAAATTTTCTCTCGCACTACCATCAACGTATATTACTATCCAAAACAGACAAAGCTCACCGCTATCTAACAACCCTCAATATGAAGTTCAGTGTTCTCGCCATTGCCGGCCTCATTGGCTGCGCTGCTGCCTTGCCTCCATTTGGGGCTTCGTCTACTCCGTCCAGCTCGATTTCTATTTCTATCACCCCGAGCGCTTCCCCCAGCTCGTCCAGCATCGCATTCGTTGGTCTTAGCAAGCGCTCCGAGACCCCTTCTAGCTCTGCAACTCCATCTAGCTCGGCCTCTATCTCTACCCCATGGGTATTCCACAGGCGTCAATTTGCCACTCCCTCCAGCTCTGGCGTTGCGTCCAGCTCTGCAACCCCATCCAGCTCCTCCGTCGCAGCCCCATGGGTCTTCCATAGACGCCAGTTTGTGACTCCTTCCAGCTCTGCGACTCCTTCTAGCTCGGCTTCTGTCACCCCTAGCAGCACTCCTGCTTTTTCTTATGCGAAGCGCCAAGTCGCCACGCCTTCCAGCTCCGCCACTCCCTCCAGTTCTGCTACCCCTTCGAGCTCTGCGTCTCTGACTCCTACCGCCTTCGCAGCTCAGAAGCGCAAGTTCTTTAGCTCCAGCAGCTCTTCTTCCGCCTCGCCTTCTTCTTCCGCTACTCCTTCCTCCTCCGCCACTCCCTCTGCCTCTGTCTAAATCTTCGCAGAGGTCGGGAGTTCCGCCATAAGAAATCAATCGTCATGCCTTTCCACCTGAAGTAAAGTGGATCCTGCACTCTCATGCACCGCTTGATCAAGATCGGAGGCTGACACAATCACCAATCGTTTCTGTACTTGTTTGTCGCGACCACTACTGGTTTGTTTAATATACTGCTGTTTTTTGTCGGGGTGTGGGTATGCTGGCGTACAAAGTTTTTGCTTTTCTGTGTGATAGAGTCGGGTACTCATCTGTTTGTTCTGTGCCTTAGTTTAGAAATAGAAGTCATTCGTTTAAATGTTTTCCCATCGAATAGCTGACATAAATTCATATCCATCTACCAAATCTGTAGATCGAGGAAATACCCAGAACATATGAATAAAATGTTCGGAAACTGTCGTTACTTTCCAACCCCTCGATTTTCAGAGTAAAATAACTAAAGACGCATATTTCCCTATCGCAATCATGTTCAGGCAATTGGTGTTCTCGTGAAGGTTAATCCTACCTTACGCCCTTGTTTTGGATGACCCCATTCGGGTGGAGCCGAGAGTATGGGATGTAACCCTAACTAGAAATATGCGGACGTTGGCATTATTGGAAATTGATCGAGTGTTTATTATTGATGGTGTTGATAGACTGGTTCATCTAGACTTAAAGCTACTATACTGATGTGTTGTGGTCCTCCACAGTCAGATATACATTCGCACGAGTTTAGTGCTTCGCATAAATATATATCCCAGGCACGCCAATGTTATTTTGATGTAAATGCATTTCGATGACAGAGATACTAGCATTGGAACGAGAGACATCAAGAATATAGAACAGAAAATAAAGGCTCCAGCGAATAAAAATACAAGAACAAAAGAGGAAAAATGGATATCTACAGATTGGAATATGTTGCACTCCTTGATAGTTGACATTGAATGCTGTTTTTCTTCCAACTACTGGAAGACTGCGTCTTGTCTTGGGAAAAAACACCGACCACAACGCGGGCCAGTAGCCACATTGTGAAGGTGTGATGCTGTTCCTCCAATTACTGGCTATCCTCAGTTAACCTTCAGTTGATACGATGATTTACTTGCCCCCAGTGTGGATCTAGTTGCCCGGAATAAGGATCTCCCGGATCAACCATCATCAGTATCGCCTTCTGCTCCTAGCCAATTCCAAAAATCTACAAAGGATTTTCCGCTGTAAAGAAAAAATAAATAAAAAAAAAGGTATTCTTCTCCTTGGCGATGCTCTTACACTCGCCCGTCTCTTTCTCTCACTGTCCACTCATTTTCAAGGCAATCTCGCCATATTTTCCCCGGCGAACATCTCGCGCATTCTCTCCTTCCACCTTCAAATTAATGTCGTCAGCCATGGAAACAGGCCGTGTCCGGTACAGGCCCATTGAATACGTGGAGAGAATGGAATATTATGAGTCTGGAGGGTATCATCCAGTAAAAATTGGCGATTATTTCCATAATCGCTATCGGGTAGTCTATAAGCTCGGTCATGGTACATATTCAACTATCTGGCTTGCTCGAGACGAGATATCCAATACAAATGTAGCAGTCAAAATCTGCAGGGCAAGCGCTAACCCGCTCGAGCGTGATAGACTGGCAGAACTATCAAAGCCTAAACAGTCATCAGACATAGGCAGAGCTATCATTCCTTCTATTTTGGATAAGTTCAACATCCAAGGGCCTAATGGTAATCACGTCTGTCTGGTAACTAGCCCAGCAAGGATGAGTGTCTCCGATGCGAAGAGGGAATCATGGATTAGCCTTTTTCAACCTGAGGTAGCACGGGCAATAGCAGCACAGCTTGTGATTGCAGTTCGATATATCCACTCACAGGGGTTTGTCCATGGCGACTTGCACCGAGGAAATCTTCTTTTTCTACCATCTCGTGAATTTACTGAGCTATCTACTGAACAAATATATAAGGAATTTGGCGAGCCCGAATTCGAGTCAGTCAGTCGGTTAGATGGCCAAAAGCTGCCGACAGGGGTACCAGAATATGGGGTAGTACCTATCTGGCTTGGAGAAGCAAGTGAAAACGTAACTCTTCCAGAATCAAGGATTCTACTCGCAGACTTCGGTGAAGCATTCTCTCCCGCGAAAGAAGAAAAGTTTGTGTCTCATACACCTCTCCTAATCCGTCCCCCAGAAGCTCGATTTGAACCTACAAAGTCTCTTACTTTCTCATCCGATATCTGGTCACTTGCATGCACTATTTGGGATATTGTTGCCCAGAAAACATTATTCGAAGGGATTATGACAAACGACGATGATATGACTTGTCAGCAGATTGGGCTACTTGGCCCGTTACCGACTGAATGGCAGCAAAAGAATGGAGAATCAATTCACCAATCCCAATACCTAAATCGATCATTAGAAGGCCGCTTCGAAATGACCGTGCAGCAAGCGCGCATAGCGGCGAAGATGCCGAGTCTTGAGTTAGAGGAACAAAATGCTCTGTTGTCGATGTTGCGCTCGATGCTTTCCTTTCAACCGGAAAATCGTCCATCTGCTCAGCAGGTTCTTGAGTCTGAATGGATGGTGAAATGGGCTCTGCCGGAGTACGACAGGATTCGCAACAGTCAATAATAATATGTATTTAGTACGGTTTATGTAGAGGATAGCCTTAACATTGTCCATTGAATGCCTGGAAGCAAATTATAGAATATCCCGTGCAAAGGCGCATATACAAGTGATGACGTACAGGCAAATGTTGCTTTTGATTTTGTTCTAGACTACTAAATATAAATATACATATACATATATGTATATAAGTAAATAGGCAGTACAGAACTGGAAAGAAGCTACATTAACCCCCAGGGGATGGTTTTTATATTGTTTGGAACCTCGATTTCGTCCGCCGTATTTATCGGTCATCCTTATCGTTATCGATAAAGATAAGAATGGAACTAACTTACCACTCTAATTAAGTTGTTGTTGAGTGACGTCGGTGCCTAAAGTACTAGTGGGGCACTTTGGGCCCTTAATTCTGCAGGATCTTGACTAGTCGCTAAGTGTCCTCTTAGTTCATTGTGATCAGAGTTCGGTCGTTTAATCACGGAAATAGAACCCGCGCCTTTTCTCGCATTACAATTAAGGTACGAAATATCTCAACAAAGTATGGACAAAGCTTTAGGGCTGGACCAAAACATGGCCCGAGTCAGGCACCGTAGAGATGGTCAAGAGAATCATGAAAGTCCAGACACAGATGAGGGGCAGAGCACAGCTAGCAATAAGGCAAGAACGCCCGGGACTAAATATGATCTCCTTGCGCTATTCAAGAAAGCCGACGCGGAAAAGGTATGTATTGTTTATGAGGAACTGACTTCATCCTGCTAATCCAGTGAAGATCTGCATGGAGCCCTTCGAATACACCAGGTCTCTTCCCGGCAAGAATACCGTTGGTAAGGTTATCGAAAGCTTGCGGCCTTGGTTAATTATATCCGATCATTCTGCGGCGGTCCTTACGGACGTTATGACTATGTTGCAGAATTCATCCTTAATGTACGATGGTTAGACAACTCGAGGTGTACAGATATAAAATTAACAGATGTAACGTCTCTGGCAGGCTAGATGATATTGAAGACGGTTCTCAACTTCGACGCGGGGCTCCCGCTGCGCACGTTAAATTCGGCCTGGGTCAAACGATAAACAGCACTACGTATATAATTGCAAAAGTTCTCTCCGATGTTCAGACCCATCTCAGACCAGAGTGTGCCCAAGTCCTGTCCGGTAAGATGTCATCTTTGTCCGATCGACGAAAGTGTATTAAGCTTGCTTGTAGAGGAGCTCCAAACTCTCACCTTAGGCCAGGCTCTCGATCTCAACTGGACATTCCATAAGAAATGTCCCAGCGTACACGACTATCTTGTCATGATCGACCACAAGACCGGAGGATTCTTCCGTCTGATGCTTCGGATCATGGAGATTGAAGCGAATACTACGCCTAACGAGAGGTTACGTCATTTGATTACTCTCCTGGGGAGATACTACCAAATCAAGGATGATTACCAGAACCTAGCTTCGGACGAGGTAGAGCTTGTACTCAATGTTATACTTTGATACTCGACTAAGCAGCTTATAGTATACCGCCAAGAAGGGCTTCTGCGATGATCTTTCCGAGGGAAAGTTTTCATTTCCTCTTATCCATCTGCTTGAGCAGAGTCCCAATGCCAGTACACTACACAAGATGATCTTCGACCGACCACCTGTGGTGGAGGGGGAAATGTCTGAGGCGACAAAGTCGTATATCATTGCGCAAATGGAGGAGATAGGTAGCTTGCAGTATACGCGGCAGGTTTTGGATGATCTCATGGACTCAATTTGGGAGATGGTAGAGAAAGTGGAAGAAGCCATGGGCGAGAATATAGGTTTCAAGACTCTTTGCAAAATATTGAAGCTGTGACATAGCGGCGAGAAAGTATATCGCCAGGTAGACATGATACTCATACTGGCTTCACTGACTCTGCCGTTCTGTCTTCTGTTGTTTGGGCAATCAAAGAGGGCAACCTGCGTCGGCAACTCACCTATGGATGCCTAGAAACTAATGCATAGCCTCAGTCAGGACCACGAGGCTGAAGGGGTGGACAGGGCTTTGGACTTGCTTGAGAAACCAAGTGATCTGTCCCAGAGTTGAGAGTGATGGATTGCGGGTTTTGTGAAGAGGCCTACGGTTTATTTATCTTAGGCCATGGGCAGAATCCGGGCGACGGTTTCAGACTATTGTCCTCGAATGAATAGTGTTCCGGGTAGCTCACGTTTGCTAATGCGGTCAATTTATTTATGGTAAAAGGATAATGCTGTCACCATAAATCTTGCACACGAAGGTGAGGATTTAATTGAATGACTGATTGATCTGGTTTGCATCTATTTTATACAACAAAGGAATCACAAATTGCGTATTTTCTGTTTTTATACCAACACCTACGTCAAAGACATTATGCAAATAACTTTAAAACGTTGGTAGGAGATAGATCTCTATATTCGAAACCTAGTACGGTTCCCTCTAAGCCTCACAGTCGGATCAACCAAACCGAATCGCTCACGGAAAAGGATCCACACTTACCTACGGTTAAATATTAAATCGGTTAAATGCCACCAACTTGCACAAAATCGGCCCACAGCGCCCCGAGGTCCCCAAATGCGGGGATTCCAGTCCAGGCTTCAGAAATAAACATAAATATCCATATGCCACCCAGGTCCATAATCCCCTCACCCACTTAATACATTTGTATACTCGCCAAAATGTCCATGACCGTAGCCGAATGCACGCAAACCCGGGACGGCTTCCCGCGGCCGTTCCCCAATACCCCGGCCAATGTCCTGGAGCAGTTCAAGTTGAACGGCAAGGTTGTGGTTGTTACGGGCGCGGCGGATGGTATTGGACTCGCTGTTTCTGAGGCTATGGCTGAGGCTGGGGCTAATGTTGCTTTGTGGTATAATTCGTGAGTTCTTTCTAGATTCTGTGTTCTGCGGTTGGGGGTCAGGGGTAGACTTTGATTGCTGATGGTTGGGTAGAAATGATGCCGCTATTAAGAGGGGTGAGGAGTTGGCGAGGGATCATGGTGTTAAAACTGTTGCTTATAAGGTTGATAGTAAGTTGTGTATCTTTCTTGGGTGGTTTATTGCTAAGATCGATGGGCAGTATCGAACCCCGAGGAGGTCCAGAAGGCTGTAGCGGATGTTGTGAGGGACTTTGAGAAGATTGATGTCTTCGTTGCTAATGCCGGTGAGTTGGATTCCTGGAAGCCATGTTGAGAATATCACTGACGGTAAGGAGGTATGGCTATTTCCAAACCAATCCTGGAACAAACACTGGATGAATACAGGAAGCAGATGTCTGTCAACGGTATGTATATCCTAATCGTCCCAAGATTCCCATCGACTATATACTAAGTATACATTTAGTGGACGGTGTAGTCTCCTGCGCAAAGTACGCAGGCGAAGTATTCCAACGTCAAGGCTCAGGGAACTTGATCATCACGTCAAGTATGAGCGCACATATTGTGAACGTGCCAACGGATCAACCCGTCTACAATGGATCCAAGGCCTTTGTCACCCAATTTGGTAAATCCCTTGCTCGCGAATGGCGAGACTTTGCCCGTGTGAACATTGTCTCGCCGGGTTTCTTTGATACGAAAATGGGTGCAAGTCCGCTTGCTGTAAATGAGGCATACCGAATGGCTGTGCTTGGAAGGCAGGGCCACGTGAAGGAAATCAAGGGTCTCTATCTATATCTGGCTAGTGATGCGTCGACGTATATGACTGGAAGTGATGTGTTGATTGATGGTGGGTATGTGCTTCCCTGACTACTGGTTGATTCGCTGTTAGGTGTGTAGGTTAGGCGATGACTTTAAATGAAATACTTCAATCTCGTTCTATAAGGAAATATCAAGCCAAAATTTATGGAAAAGTGCACCTCCTTGCCCATTCTCTGTGCGGTCTGCATCAGGATACTACCTCACCCAAGTTTTCATGACAGGATTCCGGCACCCAATTCACTGAATGCCCTGAATAAAGGGTCAAGATGGGGAATCGTAGCTTGGACAATTTCCGCCGTCGTTAGGATTGTTTGCAGGACAGGCACAAGATCTGCGGCGATCGAATCATCTCTCTCATTTTTCGGGGCAAACTGAAAAATCCCACTGGGATCCCACTTTTCTTTGATCCGACGGACTTTATCACGGTTGTCGCCATAATATGCCTCACGATGACTATCTGTGACACAGAGGTCCCGGTCCGGGAAATTCAGGAAACCGGCCTTGCCTTCAATTGAGTACGTCATCAGGTCCGTTTTGAAGTTCTTACAGACCTCCTCCATCTCGTCCCGAAGCCATTTCTCGTCCCATTGAAGCATTATGTATGCGATACGCGTGGCGTCGCGCCAAGGGAAAGCTGTTTTATTTTCTTTCCCGATCCGGCTGGCTTCCTGTCCGGTATGGATAAACGTCACTTGCAACAAAGCTGATTCTCCATGGAATTTATGCCTGAAAGCAGCCATATGTTTGTTGATAGACTCAATGATCTTTGCATAATTACTTCCTGTTTCGAAAACGAAGGATGCGTAGATTGAATACGCCTTGTTAGAGGGGATCGCTTTCCTGGTCTCCTCGGACCACTGGGATACCAGAGTCTCGTGCAGAAAACGTGATGAATCTTCGGCAATTGCTCGACGCTTGAGACTTTCTGCCAGGCAGTTCTTCATTTTTTGGATCTTGTTTTGACTAACTGTCAAAGCGGTACTTTCAGCATCTCCATGAAGATGTCTATTGATTTCGTCTCGGAATGCCTCCTTCTTCCCATCGTAATAGGTCAGAAACCGAACACCAAGATCACCCTTCCCATCCTTCAGATCACAGAACCAGCTGGTGTCGATAGTCATGCTATCACTCCAATCGGCTGCATAAAAGCTTTTCATTACCTCCTTGACCTCGTCAGCTTTCTCTTCGGCTGAGGGATACCAGGTGTATCTCCCGGCCACCACCTTGGGGCTGTCTAATTCGTGGAGAGACATCTTCATCTGGATCACGACACCAAAATTATTCGCACCAGCTCCACAGAGAGCCCAGAACAGCTTCTCTTCTTCGGACTCCTGATCGCTCTTCTTGTCCTTAGTCACGGTTATCAGCTCCCCTGTTCCGGTAACCAGGGTAGCCTCCAGTAGGCTATCACATCCCATTCCAAACTTCCGGGTAAATGGACCTAACCCCCGCCCAACACAAACCCACTTACTCCGACTGTCGGACACCGTCCACCATTGACCACCCATCCATTGACCTTTTCGATCACCAACTGCCGATACGCGTGAGCCCACAGCGCCCCACCCTGCATGGTGATGGTTGGAGTGCCAGAGTCATGCTGGAGATCAACATCATTCATCCGGGAGAGATCCATAAGAATGCCATCATTGGTAGTGGAGAGTCCTGCATATGAATGCCCGCCATTCTTGACGGTGACGGGTGTTTTGTGCTTATAAGCATATTTGACCACCTCTTCTACGTGCACTGGTTGCTCGGGCTTCACGACACACGTGGGGCGGCTGAAGCGGTAAAGGAGGTTGGCGACATCGACCGAAACTTCGTATTCCAGTTCGCCGGACTTGTAGACGGGAATCTGGGTTCCAAGAACCTTCTTCTCTTTCAGGTCTTTGTAGATGTTTCTGTCTGGCATTGTGGGGCCTCTATGGTAAAGTGGAATGATAGGAGTAATAATCTCTTGTTGAAGATGCTCTTTTTCCAAATGGTTCGTTGAGATTCAAGATACAGAAGTGCACGATTAACACAGAACCCGTTGGGCCTTTTATGTTTTTTTGAAGGTTCTATCCCATGGAATCATTTCCCTTAGAACTCTTCGGCATGATTCCCAAGTTCGGAATCTGCTTACAATCCATCAAGGGATATAGTCGAGATCATCAGTTAATCCTACTAGAGACACGTCACCATGCACATAGCTACCTTGTATGGCTTTAGAGAGTCATGGAAAAGGCACCACAAGGCCAGTTGTTCTGCATGAAAGGAGAAGTAGTGAGATTGTCTCCGCTCTTCCAAATGTCTCTCTACGTCATGACATCTGATCTCTCCTTGTGATTGAATAGTGAGAACTGGCTATAAAGTAACATGCAGCTGTGTCAAGCTGAGAAGGTCTCCTTGTTGGCAGCTCCTATGCGACGCTTGTCCAGAAGGCTCGCATGTGGCCTTCTTCTATTGGCCCCTTTCCTAGATACTATACAGTTGCAGCATACGAGGAATAATAATATCAAATCAAGTATCTCATGACTAGTAATGGATGCATCTAATAATGAGGCCAGGAGGGGCTCAGTCAATGGGATACAGCCATGGAGTTAGATCTGCACGGGCCGGCCTAGGTGGGTCTGCCGATCGACTGGGGCTTCGAAAGTATGTACTAAGGCTAAGTATGCAGAGATTGGAAGATTCTGGACGACAATGTGTCCAACATCATATTGCCAGTATGCTTCCTTGGTCATCATTAGACATGAGGATGATCCTATCAGCTGAGGGCTTCCGTCTTGTCCATCGCCAAGAACACCACTGGAAAGGATATTCAAAGCTCATGATACGAAGAAGGCAGTACCCAACGCATGATGCAACAGCATCGAATAATTCGTTCAGCAAGGTGGGGGTTGCATGCATCGGGACTCTGTGCACATATCCGTATCCGTCCCGCCAAATAGGCCACACCACGTCGGCTTTCGTAGCCCCACCGACGGCGATCAAGGCTGTTTATTCCGATAGAATAGAATAGGGGAGAACCAGTAATTGTAGTGCAGCCTCATTTGATTCTTGACATTCTGAGTTATACATTCCTCATTGGTGTCAGCTCCAAAAAGTACGTTCTGCATTATCCAACCATCGCTTTTCCTGGGATTTCCGAAGGTAACTGTAGATCAATATTGCTCCCCGCTGGGATATTGAACCTTTCTTATCCAGGTGGATTTCTTTATGGTCATAGTCTTGGCATGCGATGCAGTGATATGCCTTCATGGGACCTCCCTTTTCCAATAGACACAGTCCATTTGTTAACGATGTCCATTCTGCAGGTTGCTATATATGTAAACAGTGGTGGATGGTCGGATTGAAAACGAACGCTTCGAGTAGTGGTTTGTCTGGTAGCAATTGTAGCAAAGTTATGGAGAATTTCGGAGAAAGCGTGGATTAGAAGGTACTAATGAACTTTGTCCATGGATTTCAATTTGAAGATCACCTTTCTTATATAGTGCTTGCTGATGCCAGGTTTGATTAATTACATCAATAACCGCAAATACGCCTTCAGAGACTGGGAGACACTTCGCAAGTCCTTTTCATCCACAGCTAGATATACCTGTACCGTCGCTACATAGATAGCATAGATAGAGTGTTGGGTGCAGCTTACTCCGGCCTTTTAGACAAGGCTTGAACAAATCGACGAGGTAGCCAAATATAGAAGCCAGTCAGTAGGTATAGGAGACGCCCAGTGTGGGGATGTTCCTCAAGACTTGAAGCAGCGAATCCTGAAGGGTCGAGAGAAACCATGATGAAGATAATCCATGCATTCGCGGATTACATAATATATTCTGGCTTTGAGACTGTTCACAGCACTAAACCTGTGAATTATGATCAATAGCTTTGTGCCTGTTCGGTAGTTGAACTAGTGTATATAGCCTTCGGCTCACTGTCTACCGATGAGGGACGAAACCCCTCGGAGGAGAACGGACCGCCTGGCAAGCAGAATGGCGGGGCAAAGCATTTTTGGATTCCCGCAATGGTTAGCTCCGACCCCGACATTGATCTATAATAAAGTACATTAGATAGCAGCTATACACTGACCTGTACATTTTCATTCTTTCTCATTGCAATTCAAGTGCACGTCTGCAGCTTCGACTCGCGCAATGACAGCCCCGAAGGATATATCAAGTCGCGATGAGCTCACTAAACGAGCGGTTCCCAGCATGGTATTGAGTGACGGCAGCCCTTCATCCATGACCCCACCACCTGCAACAAACACCGAGAGCGACCCCAATATAGCGGCACAGAAGAGGTTTACAGTGCAAGGAAATGCAGTTGTTACTGGCGGTGCCGGTACGTTGGGACTGCAGTCGTGTAATGCGCTACTCGAACACGGCTTAAACGGCCTGATGATTATGGACATGGACCCGACCATTTCCCAGAAAGAAATCGAACAGCTACGAGTCAAATTCCCGAAAGCAAAAATTGCTACGCTAAAAGTCGACGTCACCGATGAGGTCGCCGTGGAATCAGCCTTCGAGGAGACTACTAAAGTACTGGGATCAGTGGATGCGCTGCTCTGTTTCGTTGGTGTTGTCGGATGTATCGACTCATTGGAGATGCCTATCCCGCAGTGGCGAAAGATTATGGACATCAACACCACAGGCTCTTTTATCTGCGCACAAGCTGCTGCTAAGCGGATGGTGGCTCAAGGGACGGGCGGCTCTATCACCTTTGTGGCATCTATCTCCGGCCATCGTGTAAACTTCCCGCAACCTCAGGCTGCATACAATGTCAGCAAAGCGGCGATTCTAATGCTGAAGAGTTGTCTTGCAGCGGAGTGGGCTCGGTATGGCATCCGGACGAACAGTGTTAGCCCGGGGTATATGGATACGATTCTCAATGCAGGTGATGGGATTGCCGAACACCGCCGGATTTGGGCCGAACGCAACCCTACTGGAAGAATGGGCAGTCCATCTGAGTTGACCGGCGCCATTGTATTACTGGCGAGCACTGCCGGTACATATATGAATGGTGCTGATATCGTTGTTGATGGGGGACAGATTGTATTCTGATGTGAATTACATTACCTTGGCTTACGCACATATTAGAATCACTACTGCCTCATAAGAAAAGATCATTTCTGCCATAAAATGAAACAAAACTGTTGATACATTATGGCCCTCTATTGACTTAATATTATCTCATTGTGAATAGGGCAAGATGCTCCTGCCTATCTCACTGTCCTATACTGCATCTCATTAGGTGGCCCTAATGTTAACTCCTTTTGGCATAGAAAATAGTCTTAATTTTCACCTTAAAAGCCGACTGAAGCCAATTTCCCTTCTCTCTCTTATCTCTCCTTTAATTCCTAGTGGCTGTTGAACATATCGGTACACAGCCCTCCGATACTCCAAAAATGGTCCCAATAATATCTCACTCTCCGAGCAGCAAATCGACCAGCTCCACAGTGATAACAAAGACGGATGCATCTCCTCTTACCCCTCGTTGGAATACGAGAGATAATACCCGAGCGGCCAGGAAAGGCCGAACCTTCGGGCGGCAGTCAGCCGATCGTCAGTCAACCAAGGAAGCTTTCAGGTGGGGTCGAGTGGATCATAGCATAGTAGGCTTTCTATAAAAGTCTTGCCTATGACACTCAGACAACTGGATAAAGTATAGGAAAAGCTATCCAATACGCACTCCCAAGTGGCTAAGAATATCCAAAATGAATGCAGACGCCAGGAATCCATCATGCCTTCTCTACGGGCCCCTAGATGCGCGATTCGAGGATCGCCCGATGCCTGTTCTTGATGATCCGCATGATGTTATTGTTCAGATTGCTTATACAGGCGTCTGTGGGAGTGATGTAAGCAGTCTACCCTAGTATCATTTATCCTATATGTGGTATGTCTATAGTTGTTGAGGAGAATGTTCACTAAATCACCCAAAAGGTCCACTTCTGGCTCCATGGCGGCATCCGAACTTACGTCTCGGAAGCCCAGCCCTTGACTATGGGCCACGAAGCATCAGGTATAATCCACAAAGTAGGCTCAGGAGTCGCTACTCTTGCTCCGGGCGACAGAGTCGCCATCGAACCCGGATACCCGTGTCGTCACTGTGCGCGCTGCAAAATTGGTCGTTATAACCTCTGTCCTGGGATGAAGTTCGCCGCTGATCCGCCATTCACTCATGGTACTCTTACGAAGTATTTCAAGTTACCTGCGGATTTCTGCTATAAGATTCCGGATAATATAAATCTGTCTGATGCGGTGCTCATGGAACCTTTGGCGGTAGCTATCCATGCGGTTAGACTGGCGGATATCAAGTTAGGAAACCGGGTGATTGTTTTTGGGGCGGGGACTGTTGGACTGTTTTGCGCTGCTGTTGCGAGGGAGTTTGGGGCTTCGGTGGTTCTTTCGGTAGATGTGTTGGAGAATAGACTTCGGTTTGCGAGGGAGTTTATTGGATCGGTTGGACGAACTGCTATGCCTGACCTGTCACTTAGTCCGGAGGAGAATGCAGAACAATTGGTACAAACCCAAGGGCTTGGTGAAGGGGCGGATATTGTCATTGATGCATCTGGGGCAGAGGCTTCTGTGCAGACAGGGGTGTTTTCTTTACGGGTGGGCGGGACTTATGTGCAGGCCGGGATGGGAAAACGCAAGATTGAATTTCCGATATCGGAGATGTGCGAGAGGGAGATAGTAGCTAAAGGTTGTTTCCGATATGGAGCTGGAGACTTTGATCTGGGGATTCACCTTGTGGGTTCAGGGCGGATACAGCTGGCGGAGTTGGTGACCAAGATCTTCCCGTTTGAGCGTGCTACTGAAGCTTGGGAAACGGCTAAGCGTGGTGAGGGTACTAAGACCTTGATTGAGGGGCCAAAGGTGTAGATAGAATGTATTAAGGCCTGTGTTGGTGTTTGTATGGCCTCAACGGCGGGAGGCTAATGGTCTACATTACTACTGTACGTGGTGAGCACCACCACGGTACCTGAACCTGTCGTGACGAACATGAGCATGATCTGAATAAGAAATCCGATTTAATTTTCACTACAACCTGTAGAATCCTCCATTCGCAACCTCGGGATTATATTATCAAGAGAAGGCATGATGTGAGAGAAGACTAGGAAAGCCCTTCGTTACACATGATAATCTTTCTTTAGAAGTGCCATTAATCTTCCTCATTGTGCATGTCACAGGCAGGATCCAGGCGCAGCTCACAAATCAGCGATTATTCTAAAGGTTTGACTGTAAATAAAGTATCCGCCAAGCTGTCCAGGGGTGGGTTGCAAGAGGAAGGTCGATGCAAACACCAATGTCTTGTCATAATGCTTGTTGGCCTATTGTTGTCAGGACCATGCATTGCTTATAATCCGGATAAGCACAAGGGGTGACTTACGGAAATGCGTCCAGTAACAGCCACAAGCACTCCCGACTGAGGAGCTGGTGTGGCGTCTGTGGTAGTGACCACGGTTTGCACAGCCTCGAACTCGGGTCTCTACACACAGAGTGATGAATAAGACAGGGATTGCTTGTTATAAATTCCCTTGGGGATATGACACTCACATTGCAGGCTGTCATGATATTTTCTGCGCCTTGGTGTGGCTGACCCTCCCAGACTAACATGGACTCCGCACGCTGTTAGACCGTCAGTTTTCTATATTGTTGCCTGTACTGCAGCTATTGGCAGTGTGATTCTTGGATTAGAATATACATATAAATTGGCCAGGCTAGTCCTGTCATTGTCGAATGCGGCATAGTAGTGTTTGACAAAGCTACCTAGGCGGAGTTAGCAATCACTGACCGAGCAAATATAGGGACGTGACAGTCATTGGAAGAGAAGGCCGAAGGAGTATATACTGGAAATTGATTGATAATCCGTCATTGTTGCGACTCACTAGGTAGGTCATATTAGCAACGCTCGGTTGTTTTATAACTGGGCTAGTGGCACACGAAATTGTCAAAACTTACAAGAGATAGGCACCAATTCAACAGGGGGTTGAGTATGAAAAGATGTCGGATGGCCAGCTGGGGGGACATACAAACCCCTTAAATCAAAGCAGTGGTATACCCCTCCTCACGTAATTCTCTGAAAGGGAGTTTGCGACGCATGAAGTTGCAGAATGGCCCTGTAAAGACTAATTACCAACGTCAATCTCATTGGCCCACATTAACATTTAGGTCTAAACAACCTGGGACACGTTCTTCGGTGGGTCGATGGGTTTGAAGATCCTTCCGTGTCCAGACTAGCGAGATCGTTAGGTAGCATTGTCCCTCTCTCAGTCGGAGTGAACGAGATCAGGCATCTCCACGTCTGAGTGGATACACCGAGTAGCGGTGTAGGCACGATAGTTTTCCCATCTCACAAAAGGATGAGACGAGAAGCGCCGATATGGTTGCTTGCAATGTCGTATTGTTTTGAATTACTAATATGTTATCGTTCCACTCGTTGAATTGACGATGATGATAAGTTATATCTAACTAAGAGAGCGAACTGGTTGCAGAGGGCTTTCAACGAAGCCCTGAATATCACAGATAATTTCCAGAGCATGTCTGTTGTGGCGCAATACAGCCTCAATATTATCATGAAAAAAGTCCAATGAAGAAAATAGATGACGTTAATATAATTCAACCCTGCGCTGCCAAAGTCACAGGTGACAACACACAATTATGGTATCATGCTAATCCTGCGATAGACCAAGTTTGATTAAATGGTGAAATTATTCATAACCCAAAATTACGGCCAAGGACATATCTATCCCGGACAATAGCCAAGCGGAGAATTAGTCAATGAATCAAGGTTACTATTGACAGTTTACGAAGGAAAGTGCATTGGAGTTGAATTTTAAAAGGTCTAAGTGTGATTTACCTTAATGTTGATGTGTCTCCGGTGAAGCTATAATAGGGAAATACTAGCCTGGTTAAGAGCATATACTGGGGAGATCTAGACACTAAATGCTACGACTAAATCAGACCGTCACTCCTAAAGTCTTCTCCATACCACCAAAGGCCACCGAATCCAACCGCTGTACTGACCGATCCTGCGTGAAACTATGAAATTTGCGCAGGAACCATTCATCCGCCGTCGTGTTCTTCCCGTCATTTCCAATGAAGACAGCGTCGTCTGCAGCTCGTAAAAAGTACGCTGTCGAGTACCGATCATAAGGTTGGGCACCAAGTTCATCAGTAAGCGGTAAAACACGGTGCAATGCTGATCGGAATCGCTCGCCTGACAGGAACCGTAAAGTGTCCCCAACATTGACAACGCCGTGGCCTTCGCGTGTATGTACCCATTCCCACTCGCCCGTTGTCGGCGACAGCACCTGCAGCCCCGGCTGTTGTGTGAACAGCAGAGTCAATGTGCCTGCGTCTGTATGAATGTTCTGACCCAGGCCTTGGGATCCTGCAGGCTTCGGTGGGTGGTGCAAGAAATACAGAGCTGATCGCGACTGCTTGTCATCGAGATGGGTGTTGAGGAAACTTTGGATCTTCCCATCATTCGATGTTGCATCTGCCAATGCGGAGAGAATTGTCTTCGTCACAAGATGTGCGCCGAAGTGCAAATCATCAAATGTCAGGAGACTTTGTCTGACCACTTCTGGCAGCGGATCGCGCGAGAGCTGGGCATCGCGTGAGAGCTAGAGGTACAGGCATATGTCAGTGGGGGTATAATCAAACAAGATCATACATGTACGTACGCGGAGAGACTCATAGCCATCCCTCTGGCCTTCCTTGACTCCAGATTGCTGTCCGACGGGCTTGTACCCATGGGCATCAGAGAGAGTGACCGTCTTTGCTTTCTCTTCGTTGGGCTTCTTGAACCATTCCTCAACGATACCGTTGCACACATTCAAGGAGCGGATAAGCTGGCCATCTTTCCATCCTCTCAGATCCAAGTAGAAGAATCCATCGTGGGTCGCAATCTGCACCATTCGAGAGATTTCCTCTGCATCCCTATAGGCCAGTTTGGCAAAGTCAATTGTCTGCAACTTGGCCACGGGAGACAGTGCTTCTTGTAACATATTGAAGATAATAAAGAGCAGGCTCGTAAAGATGTTGGTATCTGTTCTTGGTGTAAAACTTTTGCAACCAGAGGTTTATATAGATCTTTCATGCCGGGCCATTATGAAAAGTGCTTGGCGTATATTATCTTACAAGAATGTTAGTTACATTGGCTGTAGAATTCCTCGCGGCACATTCCGAAACCAAATCACACCATTGTGCTGTCGGATTCCTCATATGCAAGCTCTTTCATACCTTGAATGGGCTGCCAAGCGGCCCAGGAGGCGACCCGCGCTCCATGCGGTACATATATGCATTATCTCCTCTGGAAGGAGAAGATGGACGGGTGGATACTAGGAACCCTGTCTCAGCTGAAAGAAAAGTAAGGATACACCTCGGCCACGTAAGTAGAGTTGCATTCCCGATTGCAACAAAAATGGTTAGTTGCAAAGGAATATGAACAGGGATCATTGAAGATTAGATTAATAATCAGACTCCATATTAAGACATATCCCTTTGTTCTCCTGGCACGGTGTTCGTTCGGCCACAACCTTTTCTATGAAATACTCAAGCTGAATTTTATAACTAGACCCAACATATTATTCTCTCCTTTTGGCTGATAAGTCTACTTGACAGCGTAGCACCATGGTGCAGCTCACAGCACAATCATTCGATCGATCAACTACCTCTCACCCACCAGATGGTGGGAGGTCGGCTTGGATATTCCTCGCCTCGGTCTCCGTCATGCTCCAGCTGACGTGGGGTATGCCCAGTTTTGATCACATCCAGACTTGATCGATGCAGGCTAACAGGTACCCCTGCCAGGCTTCACAATCTCATTTGGTGCTTTTCGTGAATATTACTTTTACGGGTCGGCTTTCTCCGGTAACCAGGTGATTGCTGTGATTGGAGTTGTTAGTACGGTATGTGTTCCTGATGACGCGGCTAAGAGATGCATGCGCATGTCAGGTTCCTGTCTAAGGTTTCATAGGGTGTGATCCAACTCCTCTGCCCCTTTCTAGTGCACATCCTGGGCGGAAGAGCTCAGCTGCGTAAACCGCTGCTATGCATCGGCTCAGCCATTGTGGTGGCCGCCTCGATTGGGGCGGGATTCTCCCACACCCCCGTCCAACTAATCATGACCCAAGGAGTCCTCTACGGTCTGGGTAGTGGTCTCGTCTTTGCTCCCAACATGAGCCTGATAGATGAATGGTTCATCAGGCGGCGTAGTCTCGCCTACGGCATCTACTTTGCATGTTCAAGTATCGCTGCTGCCATTATCCCTCCGGTGATGCGAGTCCTTCTGGCAAAGTACTCAGCCAAAGCCACATTGATTGGCTGGGGTATATTTGTTGCTGTTGTGCTGAGTATAGCCCTGATCGGCGTGCGGCCTCGCCTGCCGTCGTCATCCCGGTCTGCGGAGAACGAAAAAGAAAATCCTCTCTCTGGACAATTTTCATATGGATTTCTACGAAAGCCTCTGTTCTGGCTAGTTCTATTATCCAATGTCTTACAAGCACTGTCCCAATACTTGCCTTCCGTCTACATACCGTCTTATGCAACAGCCGTAATTGGTGCTTCCTCGGCAAGTGCATCGGCTCTCCTCGCCATTTACAATATCGCATCCGCCATCTGTCAGCCCTTCTTAGGCTTACTCGCGTAATTTGACCCCCCAAAAAAAGGATTCCTAGTTGCGTTACTGATTTTGGAATAGTGATAAGCGAGGGATTCTGTATCCGCTGCTGCTCAGTACTTTGGTCCCAGCCATTGCTGTTTTGTGTATCTGGGGATTTGCGACGAAATACGGCCTACTTGCACTTGTCTGCATCTTATTCGGCGGTCTTTCCGGGGGCTATGTTGTGCTACGGAACCGCTTTGCAACAACTATCGTTGGAAACAGTGATCGCCCGAATGAAGAGCTGATTGTATCAGGCCTGATCATGTTCTTCAGGGGAGGCGCCACAATCGCATCTGGCTTTGTGGCGACAGCAGTCTCCTCTGCGGGTGAAGATCGGGGTCTGCACAAAGGGAGTTATGGTGCCGGCCAATGGCTTCCATTAATTCTTACTGTTGGAATTCTCACTGGAGTCTCTTGCATTGGTGCGCTAGGATTCCTGCGGGAAGACAAGCAAGGGAGGAGTGTGGAAAACAGCAGAGAGCAAGCCCATGGAAATTTGTAAGAAGCTTACGGGCATTTGCATAATGGTTCGGAGTGACTGCACTTGCACGGAATCTCCGAAAGGATAGTTTGCGCCTCGGCTGCAACATGCAAGAACTTTCTATTATTTCATTTTTCCTCCTTCGATGGGAAAGATATGTTAGGGCTCAGCTTATACAGGATACCAACCTCCAGTGACACTTCAGCAACGCTGCGAGCTATATACATAAGTGGAAGGGTTACTTCAATCGTTTGACCGGGTCAGTCCGCATGTTTATTATTATTGTATTGCTCTTAAAACAGCTCTCTTTGACTAGCGCGTAGACAATATCCAAAGTTCTTAGTAGCACCCGGTTTAATTTGATTGAATTAGCAATCTAGGATATACAAAGAGAATCGCCGAAGTTCGGCATCTGCCAGGAGCGGGGCTTGCTGGCTTGTACCTATGCGGCATCATTCCGGATGGTATAGTTCATTCCCTCAAGAGTATTATTACACTAAGTTAGCGAGTTATATCGCCGGGGCGCCAACACGGGATGGGCTGGATGTGACATTATTGGTTCGCTTTTATTCCATTCAATACTTTAGATATCACACGCCTATATTGCACATTTATTATGGCGAGCTCTCTTGTGATGCAAACTAGTCTATGGCATCTCGGCGCATAGTCTGTTCTCAAATTCGCGTTGGCCGCGCTATACGCAACCAGCAGCCAGCCTAGTCGTTGATCTGGTTGGGGGTGTTATGGCGACATACGTCTGACAGTTTGACATCCTTGGAGGGACATTAAACTAGCTAGCATGAGTGCATTTACAATACATGCCTGGCGCTTTCTTCAGGTCTAGCAGAGGCGAGCCAAGAAGATGACGAATTATCCCTGACGTCCCCATGCCCTATATTGCATTCAAATATGACCCTCTCGTCTCGTCAGTGACAAGAGTTGAAGGTACGTCTATTTAGCATGCGGGGCCTGTCCCGGATGTTGTGTAAGAACAGGTTGCCATGGTAGCACAATTTATACAGGCGCTAAGGTACAGGTATCTAGCTAGTAAAAAAAGAAAAAAAGAGAAATAAGAGAGCCCAGATAATGATCGTATCATATCAGTATCTGCAAGTTTGTTCCGTAGTGGTATCGTCGCGGTCGATCATTTATCTATCCCTTACCTGGTATAGTTTGCCCTATGACAGTTTCATTGCATTTGATTATGATCTACAATACAACAATCAAGGTCTAGTGATAGGAGATGCTACGTTACACACGCAATTGTATTACTAAATGGCGAAGGTCCCCTGTATCACATGCAGAAAGACGTGCATATATCTCGTGCAAGGATCTTGTTCCTGTCCCGCTTGTGCAGGCCAAGAACGATGAGAATTTCGGCATACTTGCATGCCAGGCGTCATCAGCAGCTAAGAAACTAGGGCATGGTTCCAGACTCTGCTCCAAGTTAATGTGGCTAAGCTGATCTCTAGACCTTTGGAAGAATGTTACAATCAGAGCAAGGATGGATTATGATCATCCAGCGAGCCTTTGCTGGAGCTGAGCAGTTGATGACGCATCGAGGACTTCTCCATCCCGACACCAAATGACACCATCGGCTGAAGATCTGCAACACTCCGTACTTTCGAAGACCCAGCCTTGGTCTTGATTGTACGTTGAGGAATGAACCGGGTTTCTTTGGCATTTCGTACAGATATGGGCAAATACATAAAGCCATGAAAAGTGCAGTGCTACCCAGTATGTCCATCACCAACAAGTATCGCACTCTTTACACATTGTGACTATCGAATTTCAACAAGAAGTACACGGAGTCATGGGTGTTCACATAACAGACAATAGCCCTCCTTTTCCCAACCCCGGTGTCGTGCCGAGGGTTGCCAATCTCCATACCGTCAAGTTCGCGCCTCTTCTGGATCGTAACGAGACGGAGTTGGCCAAACTTGTCGAGGCTTGTGAAAAGGATGGGTTTTTCTACCTCGATCTATGTGATAAGGGAGCTGAGCGGTTGTTTCAAAATCTAGAGGAGGTTTCGGATCTGGTCAAAAAATGGATGACACAGCCTCGAGAGCAGAAATGCCGAACTGTCACAAGTATGTTATATGGACATGTTGCCATCCATCCCCATGTGAATCCCCTAGCCTTCGGCCAGGCTAGCTTAACCTAATGCTAACGGACGGTTCGTAGCTTCCTTGTCCCACGGGTACAAGCCAACAGGTGTCCAATCCGGAGCAGTTGAGTCCCGAAAGGACGGGTTCGAAGTCCTCAAAGTCGGCCGCCAAGAGCTGCTCGGCCGCTGGGCTCTGCAGGATGTTGTGCTTGAAAACCTGAAGCTCTTTGATGACTTCATGGCCATGTCGCACTTCATCCTCAAAACCTTGCTAGAGCACCTATCCGATGTTCTGGGGTTCAACGAACCAGAGACTCGTCTAGAAAGATGGCACCAAGACCATATAGCCTCGAAGTCGACCTTGTATTTCCTCAACTATCCCGAAGAGGTCAAGATCAAAGAGAACGGGTCAGGGCAGAACATGCACACGGACATCGGCACGTTAACCCTGCTGTTCGCCCCCCAATGGGGTCTCCAAGTCCCAGGAGAAACCACCAAGGAGTGGCTGTGGGTTAAACCGAAGCCGGGACACGCTATCATTAATGTCGCAGATACCCTTCGGTTTCTCTCGCGCGGACGATTCCGTTCCGCCTTGCATCGCGTATTGCCTATCGATGGACAGGTTGGGGATCGGTTTTCCATATCATACTTCTTGCGCGCAAACAATAACACAGAATTTATGGCCAGCGATGGATCGAATTCGAGTGCGAGAGATTGGTATTTCAAAAAGTATGCTACTTATGAGAAACCGCATGATGAGCAGAAAAGGGAGCCAGTCCTTACTGGTGGGATGAGGGAGCTGATCGGTGTGTAACCTCTGGAGAAGCAGTCCACAGGGGGAGGCGATGGTAGTTTTGTTGTGGAAGAGAAGACCTGAAGATGAACACTACGGATGGATCTTCATTTTCGTGCCACAAGTGAAAGTAGTTCAGGAGGAAGCTTCTATCGCTGGGGTGGTATATCTCATGTTTTTTATACAAGATTTAGACTAGGAAGTCAATCTACGACTATAACCTTTGTATCTCATCTTTACACTCGATATTCCGCATGCCTACACATATACTCTAACCAGGGGACCGTGCCATACGAGAATATAAGTTGTTTCATCTGTGATGATAAGAATATGCATCGTAACGTGTCCATCGACAATCTCACGTGGCCCTACGTCATGGGCCGCACCACCGACGTCACAACCCCGATGGAGTAATCTAGTTTTATATCAAGCCCTATACATACTCATCTAGATTGTCAAAATCCACTTCATATCGTTCTCTTTTGGAATACTGCGGCTTTAATCTTTCAAGTGCAACGGCCATACTTCTACCATATCAATTACAAAACATACACCATGAACTCACCCAACCCCAACTCTCAACCTCAGGAAGCGGAAGAAAAGAAACACCAACAGTCTTACTATGACTGGCTTCGTGAACAGTACAATATCCAATACGAGAAATGGTATCCCTGGATCGAAGATCAGTACCTGAAGTGGTTTGGGAAGGGCGATAACAAAGCTTCCTATGTTACTAAGGGTAACTACACCGTGTATTTGTGCATGCATTTATCTTTTGACAGCTTAGCTAAGTAATATCATCTGTATATAGACACTCTCAACAACACCAAGGCCAGCGGATTGGAACAGGTTGATCAACTACAAGACGACGTACATAATCTAGTTGGAAATCAACTCGGCGATAATGGATTGCTTTCGCCTGTTGGCAAGATGGTTTCTAAAGAGGGAATTAATCGAGGTGAGAGAAAGGGGAAGGATGAAGAGGGGAGATATGGATTTGGGGGTTTGGGGATTGCAGGGAAATGATCCACGGTTATAGGATAATGAACGGTGAAAGAGGAATTGTATGATATTACTATGGGTGGTATATCGTTGTTTCGTTTCGGTTTAGTTTATCGGACTACTCGATGTTGTTACAGTAGCTATATTCATTCATGATACGTTCTTTATTCAGAGGCCGGTTACATGATACAAGGCGTCTACGTTAATGCCTTAAACAAATGAAGACTTCTGCTCGGTGGAAATTGCATTGTTGCATTGCATTGTCTTTCGTGTTTATGAGTTGGCGATTGTAGGAACATGATCGGAAAGCTACATGGATTTCGGGTCTTGTATATCTATGGCAGTGAGATCTCGTATACCTGACCCTCCATACTCGAAATCTCCTCGGTATATGCACTCCCATTAACACTAAACAGTCGTCCATCCTGCACACGTATCACCAGCTTCCCTCTAGCTCTAGCGGTTACTCTCGCCCAGGTCAACTTGCCATGAGACCATTCCATATCAACCACAAAGTTCCCCCTCGCCACCAACCCAGACACCTTCCCATTTGTTACAGCAGACGGTAAAGCCGGCAACAAATGCACCACCCCAGCATGACTCTGCAGCAGCATCTCAGCAACGCCCGCCGTGAACCCAAAGTTACCATCAATCTGAAAGGCTGACCCAGGGCCCGAGTCTGTATTCCACAAATTCGCACTCGGATACGTCTTCAGAAAGACCTGCGTGTGGTTCCACGCGGCGTCTCCATCGAACGAGCGAGAGTAAAGACTTATAGTCCACGCTCGCGACCAACCCGTACTACCGCTGCCATGGGCGATACGGTGGTCCAGCAGGACTTTCGCCGCGGCGGCTAATGTTGAGTTTACGAGGGGTGTCATCTGTGAGCCTGGGAAGAGGCCGAAGATAGGACTCATGTGTCGATGGCCTGGTTCTGTTTCGTCGTATTCGTGCCGCCATTCGAGGATTTGTCCGTAGGATCCAATTTGAGGGTGTTTAATACGTGGTAAAGAGGATGCGGCTCTGGCGGTGTCTGTGTTGTTGATACCGACGATATTGCCGGTTTCTATGATAGAATGGAAGAGGTCTGATAGGAGTGTGTTGTCCATCGTCGGAGCGATGTCGATGCCCTCCTCTTTACCGCTTTCGCTCATATCATTGGGTACGGCGAACGCATTTTCCGGCGAAGATGAAGGTCCTGTGCTCAGATACCCGTTGAAGGGGAATAAATAGCAGTGGTAGAATTGAGCAGCAGACTGCAAGAGCGGCCATATACGTTCTTTCAGGAGAGTTGTGTCCTGCGTGAAACGGTAATATTCCATTAGATTCGCCGATAGCCAAGCACCCCCCATCGGCCACATTGTCCACTTCGTTCCGTTATTCACTGGGACAGCGTCTCCCCAGAGGTCCGTGTTGTGATGTAAAACATAGCCTCCATTATCGCAGTGGTACATACGCCGTGCGATATCTTGGCCACGGGGCTTCACGGTTTCGAGGAGAGATATCAACGGCCCTAACGTCTCTGCCAAGTTCGTCACGCCGGCGGGCCAGTAGTTCATCTCCAGGTTAATATTAACCGTGTAGCGCCCTCCCCATGCAGGCTCGTAGTCCTCATTCCAGAGCCCTTGGAGATTAGGAGGTAACGGCGAAGTGCCAGTCTCGCGTGATGATGCGATAAGAGAATACCGACCGAACTGGAACATGAGGGTCACTAGTTCGGGGTCCGCGTCAGGGTCGGTCTTGTATCTTTCAAGCCGGACATCAGTGGGCAAATCACTTGCCGCACGAGACGACCCCAAATCGAGATGCACTCGGCCTGCGAGGGCTTCATGATCAGCCGTGGCCGACTGTTTGATGGCAGAAAAACCGGCCCACACGGCTGCATCTAGCTTGCGCTGTATTTCGGCCTCCCATGCTTCCTGACCTTCGAAACGATAGGACGTTTCGGCATCAATGAAGATGTCCACAATCGTTGCGTTCTTGACTATGACCGAAGTCTCGTTGCACGACACACGCCCTTGTATGGTTAGTGGGAACCCGTAATAAGTCACGAAGTACTCACCTCCATGAGCGACAATACGAGCCCCTGCCGAAAAGTTGATCGCATCTGACTCGGCCGACGAGGCGCGCAATTTGAGTGATCCAGTGTCATTTCCCACGGTCGCTACATTCTCTGCGACGTAGCGACCGCGAGAAAGCGAAGCAGCGACATTTAACCGACCAGCGTCGCTAGCACTAAGCCTAGCGGCAATCACTCCCGCTGGATGGCTTGCGACGTACTCCCGCCTACTTAATATTAGCCTGGATTGACCCTACCCCAAATAGTCGGACATACCGGAATTGAACACCATGATACTCATAGTTCACGACCGCACGGCCTTTGAGCAAATCCAACGAGCGGGTATAGTTCTCTACATGCGAATCCTCATGGCCGAAGTCCAGCACCAACGAACCAAGCGGATGATAAGCCCGTGGCTCATCAGGACTGCCAACCATTCTCGCCAACGTCATCTGTCCAGCTGTTGTGACGTTCCCTTGTTTAAGCATAGACCTGACGGGGTCTAGAGCGCTGTATGCGTCCGGGTTAACGCGGTCCATGAACTGGCCGCTCCATATGGAGTTCTCATTCAGGGTTATATTTTCTACGGTCGAACCCCATACTGCTGCACCAAGTCGGCCATTTCCTAGTGGTAGTGCTGAGGTGAAGTTGTTCGCCGGCGAGGTGTACCATGTGAAGCGGGATGGATCGAAGCGGGCGTGGACAATGGTGGCCCAAACAGCTAACTGTAGAAGGGGAAAGAGTAACATCTTTTCCGAGTCTGTCTACGCGCGAGCTGAATACTTGCAACCGTGGGAGAAGAGTCATTATAAATTGCGACCGGTAGTTGTGGCAAGATGCATGCATCAATTGATTGATTGTTCGTGGTAATTCCACGAATCAGCGAGCTGGGGGATTGTGCACCTGCATGGAAATAGATTAAACCCATTTAATAGTGCCCAGGCCAATTACTGTTGATATCATTTTAGCCGGTTAAATAGATGCTGTGCTCTTCATCTTGGTGTTGTGTGAAAATTCCAATATGCACCAACGCTTTGCGTGGTGGATTGCTGTAAACGTGGGCTATCATAACTCAGTTTCTATTGTATATTGGTCCTGCTTGGATACGTATCACTTTCTCTGTATGCGTGAAACGTTGTTGTATGAGTGCTGAGAAAGTCTCAAACGTCGATATCCAATGATTCTATCGGATATCTTACCGTCAACATTGTGCCTTGTTGGCCGCTGACATCCTCTAACGATGCCATCCACTCACGCTGGTTTGTATCCTCATTGAGAGTCGAGACTGTGCCTATTTACAGCGTGAAGGGCTCCAAAGAGTGTCACAAATTCACTGCAGACCCAGCAACTATTACAAAATGTAGTATAAGGAAGACCCGTATCTCAGATAGCGGAAAGATCGCAACTCGGTGATTTCGATGTGTGCCCGCTATTTCCCATACGGATCGATAAGGGAGAAGAGAGCTTAAAAGTCGGGATAAGATAAAGTCACGTGTCAATGACGAGACTCACTATCCTAATTCAGAAGTCCGCGCCGGATCTCGTGCGTTCCAATATCAATAAGTTTATGGATTAGGTATGAGTATACTGAGATTTTATCTAGTGCAGGAGAGATGTCTGGCATAATTGTTGGTTGTGGGTTGTGCTATAAATACGACACTTACATCCATCTACCTCTCCGCCCCACTTCTCCACAATATATATTTGTATAAGCTGGAGGCAGCATTTCTCTGGGGTTAGTGAAGGAGCGAATCAGCAGCAAGGGGAGATGAGGTGTTACCTACTACTAGTAGTAGTGCTACTACTACTAGTACTAAGGCTCAGAGGCAACCTTGCATGTCAGCTGAGTCAATGATGTGCACATATATCACATGACTGAAAACACAAGACACACTGTCTTGCTCAGGATTTAGAACTTTGTTTTAGAGGTAGATACGAATATCAAAGTAATGGAATATGCTGTTGGAGAGAAGTGGTGATTCTAAAGATACGTAATGCTAAGGTTCGTTCTCTGGTGGGGTTTACTGTGAGATGATGGAGTTGTACGCTCGCTCGCACGGCTGGAGAGGACGTAGTAGCGTTGATCATGACGCGATGACATGGTGTGGTGGTCAAAATACTGGCAGTGCATACATCCAAGAGTTCTTAGCACATAGTAAACCTTGGGACGTTTTGTTTCTATCGTTCGTGTCTGTTAGGATTAGCAGTCTTTGTACTATCAAAGTTGTCTATGTAGGGCTTCGAATACTCTTCGATATGCTATTTCGGGTAATTATGATTCCTTACAATGGGTTTCTCATTCATTAGCAACCTGAGTATTATTCTTGGTGTAACTTAAGGCTTCCACACCATCATGGTGGCTGCATACTGTTGGCCAAGGGCAGCCCGCCCTCGCGACACGTAGGAGATACAGGAGCATCCCACCAATACTCATGCGATCATGACCTGCAACAACAACACGACCACTTTCGGTCAGCCTATCATGACGACGCGTTTAGCATTCGGTGGCAATCAACTCCTTGGAGCTTGCAAAGCTAGTCGAGCCACGGCGGAGTCCGATTGGCATGACCGCAGCGATCAGTCGCGTTTCCAGGGGCGCTGTGCAGCAGACCGGATCGACGGCGACACGACATCCAATCGCTTCCCTCCTTGATGATCCAGGCGAAGGGACTCGACTGGTCGATAGATTGAACGTATGCCGATGTCTCGTGACTCTACCCCGCGTTGTCATGTATTGATACGGCTGAGGGATTGATATAAAGGAGCCCAATCCTGTCCGACCTGCTCTCGTATTGCTTTGGTCCTCATCGAGTCACTCTGGAGTGACAAGAGCTGGAACAGAAAACCTTGCTGTGACTAGCTGATACTTCTCATTCAATCTTCTTTTCTCTACTATCTACCAATCTATCCAATACGATGTCTGCACCAGTGGTTCAGGGCCTCTCCTCCTTGGGCTCTCAGGCTGGACAATATGCCAGGCGTCAGGCCAACACATGGAGAGACAGACTCTTGACTACAGGTATGTATTCAAGACGCGAGACGTTCTGTAACATTTGATCCCCTGGCCATGAATCTAACCCAGACAAGACAAATCTCGCCGTAGGGCACAGATTGTTCAGACCTCGTTCGCAGTCCACCGACCCGTCTGGGTTACGGCTGGTGGCGCTGCATACACAACGGCAGCGGCAGCACTGCTCACACTACGATACATGAAACGACTACGATGAAGGAATGAATGGAAGGAGGGGTAAGGAGATCCTTGATGGATGGTGACAGGGATGTTTCTGGTAAACATACACATACAGCGGGGGACTGGTCCACGACTGCTATTTCATTTCCTTTGTGACTTTTCTTTTTTTCTTTTTTCTATTTCTGATTTATGACCAGTGGGAAATATTGACTGTTTCTTTTATTGGGGGCGGGTGATTTGTCTATAGCCGCGCCGGATGGCAGGGATGGCGTTACGGAATTGTTACATCCAGGAAACTCAATGAAAATGATGATCCATCTGAACACCAACGAATTTAAATTGCCTGTAGGATGGGGTGGCTGTAATTAAGATGGGTACGGTATTGTCAGAAAGTATCCTGAGCCCTCCTTGACTGTACATGGACGCAAACAACAAAGACTCGACCAGGGTCATCACACCACACCCGTCATGCCACATCGACAGACTCTGGAGGTACATCAATGTACTTCCGTGGTTCTCGGAAGTCTCTACACGAAACACACTACAAATCCCCGGAAGAAAAAACCCACCGACCCCATCTAAAAGCTTCATTAACACTAAATCATCGCAGAGCGGGTCAATATCGAGTCTGGGGGTACTTCAAAGCAGAGTAGAGGTACCTCTGAGGTACCTCCGAGCACTTCCAGGTCCAAGGTAACTCCCCCACAGATCCACCAGAGCTGAAGTGAGATTACTCTAAATTACCGGCGACTCCACCGCCCGTTGATCGAATTGTCAGCATACGTATCCGTACTTTGTAATGGATGGGGTCGATTGGACGAGACGTGCAGCCAGACTTTCGACCCCGCTCGATGGCGCCCAATGGCCGGCTATTATACCAGGATGGCTGCAGGATACCCCGGATCCAACTTCTCAAGGCAACCCCGCACTCGGCACCACTTAGGATTATCCACTTGCCGAAACTGGGGCACTTGCGATCTGAGTCGTGGTTTCAGGTCGAGTGTCTGCTGAGACATTGCCGTTTTCTCCCCCCATCGGCCAGGCCGGGCAATCGACTGTGCATCTCTCCCTGGTAACGTTAGGGCATTTTCATATAAATAATGCTAAAGTTAGGAAAGGGATAATTTGATCGTGACAACCCCTAACTTCAATCAACGACACTCGTCCTGGATGCGTGTCGATGAACAGTGGTAGATCATGTAACTCTCGACGAGCCACTGATGCAAGCTGATATCACCAGTCCTCCGGCAGGTATTGATAATCCACACTCCTTCCGCTTTCGTTCGGAGCCTTAGGGCACTGTGGCCTAGCCCGGAGTAGTTGTCATATGACGTCTACAGCCCTAGCGTGGAGATTCCATTTTAGGCCACCCAACGCGATGCAGGAATCTGTCCGCGTATCAGCGTGTTATGTACGATTTTGCCGGCGGGAGACGACAAAAATGATTCCGCTCCTAACTAACACCGATGGCGTTAAATCGTGTTCTCAACGCTGGTGGCTGTGTTTATACCATACTCGCCATATTAAGGCACTTTCGTACGTGGCATGAATTCAGAAATCGAAGGTAAGTTGGCTGTCGTTGGAGACTTTGTGGAAAGTGTCCAAACATAGTAAATATCTACACGGTATGGAGGCTATTACTATAATGCTGCTTTCGATTGTCCCTTGAGCACGCTACAAGTACGCCTCTTAGATAGTCCTCTGCACCAATTAATCAACAATGCAAATAGGAAGATGCAGAAACCAAAATCAACAGTTTAGGATGCCCAGACATATAGTTTGGTGGAAATGTAATGTTTGAGATTAGAGCTAGGGTATAGAAAGACAGGTACCGAAAGGCCTAGCTATAATATCGCAATGGATACGGACCCCTTGTCTCTCAAAGGCGGATACGCAAGGCATAAAATCAGAATATGATGTTGTCTAACTGGGAGGCTTACTTTTGGGTATACGTATCGCACATGGCCGGCAATCCTACTTCGACGGCAGTCTACTCTGTTGCAACACTGCCTCCTTACAGAAGGCTGGCCATGCATACTTCGTCTAAGGGGATTCTGGCATGTAGATTCCTGTGTTCACAATGACTCTGCAGTCTTTTGTCTTATGCAAAATCAATACCGTGTATGATCTTTGTTCCTATGTGACTTTTCTATGTGTCCCCCAAATTAGTGAGGGAAAGGTACAGAAGCGGATCAATGATATTTACATTCCGTCCGCGGCGTTCGCGTTCAATAGCATTTCCTATGGACAACACTAGGACCTGATTCATCATATGCCTCCTTAGTTACCCAAAGATCTTGGAATGTAGAGAGTGATGCTAACATCGAACCTCCAATCCAGGTCAAGTACTCTCGCTCCGGGGGAGCTACAACATTCACCTTCATTCTTGGTGGGCTGAGAGATCTCAGTTCATGGAGTAGTCGATCTGTCATACCAGGCAACATTGAAGAGCCTCCGGACTAGAAAACAAAGAGAAAAAGGCCCGTCAGTAAAAGAAAGAACCCTTTTATCGAAGTATGTGTTTCTTTTGCTTTTTTTCATTTTTTTTTAAAAAAAAAAAAAAAATAAATAAAAGAGAAAGAAAACAGAAGAAAATGGTATAGTTACCAGAACCACATTTCCATAGAGATCCCTCCGAATATCAAGATCACATTTGAAGATCGAATTATAGGCCATCTCATGAATGCCTTCCATTTGAAGATCAATTGTAGCGGGTTGGAAGAGGACTTCAGGTGCCCGGAATACCTCTGCCCCCATTTCTATAATTTGCCCATCAGGCAGCTCATAGCTATGCTGAATATTCCCTTGAGGCTCCTGCGAATCAGGTGCAACATAGCAGTGCTTTTCTTTCATATCCGAGAATATATCAGAACTGAAAGTGTTTCCGCCTAGTCTATTCGCTAGGTACTCTGTTACCTCATTTCCACCTAAATCTGCCCGAAGAATAGCATGGGGTAATGCAGATCCCTCATAAACTGGGACACAGTCAATAGAGCCATGGCCACAGTCAACTGATAAACCAGTTGTACGTCCGGACGCGTGTAAAGCTAATAGCGCGCCAATACTAATATAAAATGCTGGGACTTCGAACTTTTCAAACATAATCTGCGTAGTTTTCTCTCGGTCCGCTTTTGGGTTCAGCGGGGGCTCAGTTAGAAGAACCGGAGACTCTTTCGGAGTAGTATTAAGCCTAGTGGTAAAGGCGTAATTCCAGATCTTCTCCATAGCATCCCAGTTGCTTATTAATCCACGCTCGATCGGGTTCGTGAGCGAAAGCATCTCACGATATGCTATGGCATCATCACCAACGTATGAATTGTCCTCAGATCTGAAGCAGATCATATATCTTAGTGCATTTCACTCAATGATGAGGGGCGTGATATAACAGGCATTACCCTTCGTAGCCGACAATTGTAGCTATTCATATAAACTTTAGCATCAAACTAGGCAAAAGTCCCAGACAAAACTCACGGAAAACAGCGCGCGGGCCGTTATCACCAGCAAACCCGGCCTTGATATACTTTGTCCTATAAATCCGATCAGCCAGTGTGTTTTATTAAATGTTGGCAAAATCAAGGAGGATCTCAAATGCCGATTGTAGAGACCGAGAGGAAGGTGGATACAGTACCCATTATCGATGACAATAGCAGCAACATCTTCATGAACTAGAATTTAATCAATGAATTAGTACAGCCTTCACATTCACAGAGGTAGAAGATAAGCTTTTCTGCTTGAGAGTCTTGGAGAGCAAAACCCTGTAGGCCAGAATCAAAAAAAATAAATTATGATTGTAGAAAGCATACCCCCCATGTTTATAAAAGTAGATAAAGAGTAAATGTTCTAAATCTTAGGATTATAACAAAGCAGACACAGATTGAGAAATTAGTAACTTCTAATTAATCCAGAGGAATTCGTCCCTATTAATAGTGGGTGAGGACAATACGGCAGCTATTCAGCTATTCGTTGGCGGGGCCTCGTTTAGACCTTGAATAAAAATTCAGGCGGGAACTACTAATCCAGCTTTACTCAAAGGGGAAACGCATCTAGCTGAGCTGAAAATGAATCCCACCCGTGCCCCTCCCCCTCCCCCCACTCAACCGCAGGATTGCTTTTGCGTAGATGATCGTCTGCATCGGTAAAGGCTCACTTGCATGTCCAGTGGTCCAACTACCTCAAACTGTTATTCACGGATCGTACTTGCATCACTTTCCGATCCCCCGTTCACCCTATGGTCACTGATCACTATTGGATTCTAGTCATTGTGGTAAAGGCACATCTCACCAAGACACTTGGACTCAGATCGGAGGACGATGATATCATTCATATTCAGCTGCACGTCGGACCGCCCGGGTAGTGCTATGTGAGGGGCGATTCCTGCTACGATTCTTCCTTTGAATCGGGCTCCACTTGACAGATCTAAGTGTAATAAATCTTGGCATGTAGTTGTTCAAACTCGCCTTAAGGTTTCTACACCGCTACTCCAGCAATTGTGATCCTCGATTCACGTGCTAATTGTGTCAAGATGAAGGTTACCACTATATATAGAGAGAGAGAGAGAGAGGAGATCTGGAACATTCACACGTCTGTGAGGGGCTTTGAAGATCTGAAATACTTGTCGTCCAACCCGGCAATGCCGACTGGCAACTGCCGATTCTTTTGGGGGCCCACTGGCAATTGACTCACCGCTTCAGCTGACTATGTTAGCGTCATCTAGTTAGTATAATAATAATAACAACAATACCAAGATGCTTAGTTTGGCATGCGAGAAGGGATCTGGAACAGGCACTGCTAAGCATGAATCTAATGAAAAGCCCTTTGGAGATTGTACAAGAAGTCTCGAGCCGCGCAGAGGGGATTGTTAGGCATTCTCGAAGACCAGAACCACCACTATATCTCAATGATTTTGGGACCACAAATACTCTACTCTCAACACGCTCGGTAAACCTTTTAATGATCCACTTATCCCGTTCGATAAAGTCTCGAGAGATCAGTACTATTAGCAGTACGTAGGTGGGGAGATGATCAATCACGTCCTGCAGTATGATTACTTTCTGGCCTACCTTCCTCAAAATCGATTTAAACGATCTCTCGGGAGCATAGGGCCTCCAGATCAAGCACAGACCTATAAGCACCTTAGACCTTAATCGAACGACCGTTTGCAGGTAGAAACTTTCCACAGTTTCTCCAAACTCGTATACGATGAAGGGCAAGAGGCTGCAACCGGAAGGATAAAACTAATTTGACTATAAGACTGTAGGAGAGATTTCTTCCTAACGATAAAGTGCGCCGAACTTGAAGCTAAGCCTTAAGTGTTGGTAGTCATTGGGAAAACAGTGTATTATATGTTTTTCATTTGGGGGTTTGATTTGTAGAGCTCCGGGTTTTATGGCGAAGTATTGAAGTCCCGGGCCTAGATACGCTGTATGTACATCGGTGGTAGATTGAGCACTTGGCGAGAGATGAAGGCTTATGGAGGGAGAGGGAGAGAGAAATTGCTCTTTTTTTTTTTTTTTTTTTTTCATTAGGGAGGCTAAACAGATATTTCATTGTTCAGATTAACCAGTTATTAACCGATATTAGCCAACATTAGCGAAGCACATTGGCAAAGTTCCTCCTCATCAGAGGTAAAATACGGAGTATCACCCAAGCGTGCGCAATGTCATGGATGAGAGTCCCGGCTTTCCTTGAAGTCGAACTTTTCGATTGTGAATTCCCTATAACCTAGAAGCTAGAGTTGACCGGGTTCCCGCAAAGCCCGCCCCGAGCCCTGGCCCAACCCAGCGATTTCCGGGGGCGGGTTCCAGATTTAGGACCCGCTCTGGGTTCCGGGCTCTAGGGCTAAAACCCGACCTGAACCCAGGAACAGCTTCGCCCATCTCTCCCAACGGCCTTACCCTCTCTACGCAGCACAGTCGTGGACTGTAGTAAGGCAGTATGGTTGTCTACCTCGCTGTGTTAATTGGAAGTATCCGATGATCTCAGTGGCTGACAGCTTGTTTCCCACTAGTCTGTATCAGGCATAATCACCGCCCCAGTGCCATGCCAGGGTTTACCAGCTGTACTCTGACTATTTCTTGGTCTTCTTCGACCACTGTTCATATCACATTCTTCTGTGAGCTTATAGGGAGTAACTCTGGAATAAACACCATAAGGCTGTTTATCTCTCTTTTAGCTGTTTTGCTTCGCCAGAACCCATTTTCTATATCTTCTCCTAGGCTATCTTTACCGCCTGATATACTTGTTAATAAGGAGATCTTACCAGTATACAATTCTAAGTGCTTCTACCCAGCAAAACCTGTAGAGATATGTCCAATTGATTTGCCCCGACTCAAATTGCGGGTTCGGCTGAGAATATTGCATGTGATAACCAAGGCCTTCATTGTATCTTTGGGGATAACCAGGCGTGTCTATGTCAGGGTAGTCACCCAGAGACGTAATGCCGTCTTATGTCTCCAAGTGGTGATGTCAGGATGGACGCTCTGTACTTTTGACCCACGGGCTGTCTCTCGGAATCGGCTGTATAATCTGCCCGTCCTGGACTTTCAGCCTTGAGAGAATGTAGTTAGTAAGTTAGGGAATATCAGTAATCTTTGTCTTAGTCTCGTGTTGGCCTCGGCTTGCCACTAGTTAACTGCTTGTCAACACTTGAGCTGCAATAGGTAGTTGACTAGTTGAGTGACGCTGTTATTGATCAAGTGACTATCAATTTAGCCGAATCTGGATTGCACCTTGAGAGGGTCGGCGATTTTAATAGCCTATCCAAAGCACAACCCCACAAAGATCTACATGGGCGCGTGCAGCAAGGGCAAAGCTTCTGCTGCGATTGCAGAACTGAAAGAACAAGTCCCTTTGCGTTAAGAGGCATGAGCGGTCATAAATAGTTCCTCTCAGCTCCCGCACAGCAACCATCAGTCGGTCATGTGTAAGCCATCCTTAGTGCCTGTTGACTCTCTGCGTTGTCATATTATATCAGTTCCGTCTCCGGTGGCATCCACTCACAGCACACGCAATCGTTTAGATTCGTGTTCTTCATGGCCACACTTCAGTCGCTTTTTAAGCGTACCCGGCCTCAAGATTTCTAGCTCTTTCCACTGTAGTATCTTTAATATATTTATTACTATTTCTATAGTATTTATTATATTATAGAACATATTAACATTTTCTGGAAATCAGTTCAGCAGCCCTCGGCCTATCGTCTTATATTTAATATAAATAACCTTATTATAGGCTTAAGTACAAAAATAGAATCTATTGTTTTAGACAAGTTCTTTTCTACAGTAAAAGAAGAAATCTCTCTTCTATCTGTAGCTATAACTATAGGTATACCGGGTTTCAAGTCCCTGTAGTATTCGGTTTATTTTATAATAGATCCGACTATATAGTTTCTGTACTTTCTATCTAAGCTTATATCCTCTACTTTCACAAAAGTCTCAGTATAATTGAGGGAACTATGTTATATACCCAGACTATCTCGGGATATTCCAAGGCTTTATGAATATTCTTAGCTGGAGGTGCAGTATGGCCGTGCATGTTGATAAGAGGAGGAGTACTTTAAAGAGTAAGTACGTGAACTGATTCGTTTGGCAGGGGGTGTGAATTGATTTACGCCCAGAGGGGTCGAAATTACTCTGTTAAGAGAGAAATTCTCACCACATCTCGCGGATGAGAGCTCCTATAAGTTTCTAGAAATTGCCCGTGTGGTGGTTTGGGCTGTGCCTTCTCTTCTCCACATTTCATGGTTCTAACGAAACGCCGAGTCAGATTTCAGCATACCGATGATAAAGCACAAAGAAATGTTCAGCTACGCCACCAAAACTTTCAGTAAAATGCTACTTCGGAGTTTAATACTAGGATCGTCGTATTCTCAGTGGGGCAATACTGCTCTGCATGACGCACATTGCTGTCCAGTGGAAGGTGGAAAGATGTAGCCCATATGTTGCGCCCGCATCTGTATCAGTAGGTACGCCTGATTCCTTCGTTGTGGACCGTCTAGCCGTCTTATATAAGCGGCAGGTGGTGTAGCTACTGTCGATCTAGCGAAGATGACTCCTTTTCTTGGATGTCTTCCACTCCTGCTCCCACTGGTAACGGATGTGGTTGCGAATAAATGTCTTCTCTCTTGTTAAGAGGGGTCGAAGTGAGAGTGTCTTGCCTGGAATTGCCGCTTCCTTGGCCAATTGATCTGCTGCGTTGTTTCTCAGGTCGTCGTAGTGCCCTGGTAACCACTGAAGGCGGAGTGTAGCACCACTTGCTCTGGCTTCTATGGCTGCCTGAAGGACAGCATAGATGATCTGTTGTCCTGGTTTGTTCCCTGGATTTTGAACCACTTGTAAAGCAGATATGCTGTCGCAAAAGATCATAGCCGATAGCGGATATCGAGTCGTTGTTTTCTGGTTTTGTTGACCCCATTAAAGGCGCCTTTCAGGTCGAAGGCCACGAGAGTGACCACTTTTTGTTTGTACCACACCCGGCATATTGCATTGCCCTAGACTATTGAACTCAGAAAAGTGGGCTTAAAGCAGCGGTGAACTGGATGATCAATACTCTTCTCCACCACCGGAAACTCTAAGGTCAATCAATGCTCCGTCGTATAATGGGTTATAAGAGGGGTAGGAGAATTACAAGTCGTATAAATTTTGGCTCTCTCTTCCTTTAACCATCTATCTCTTTATCATTCCATTCCCCTACTTTCCTCTGTCCCAAACACATCCTACCTCTCTTCATTTTCATACCCAAAAATGAAGCTCTTTACCACCGCCCTTCTTACCACTGCCACAGTCGTCCTGGGTCAAAACGATGATGTTAGGTTCCCTGTGAGCCCTAAAGTGACTGTAACTCAAGCCACACTAAAGTGTGGTCTCGACGCAAGCTTGCGTTGCTGTGAGACTGCTACATATACTCCTGATCTAAATCCCCCCAAAAGTGGTCCTTTTGTGGGGGTATTGCAGGTTGCCTTGGGCGGTGGACCTGGTAGCGATGGCCTTGGTCTGTTTAAACACTGCGAGGCAATTTCCAATAATAGTATATGATACCTTACTTTTTTGAACCGGAAATCATGCATGCTAATTTTCTTTTCTTATTTAGCTCCATTACTTAATGTAGTAGGTGCGGGGTCTGACGACAGGGTTGCTAAAAAATGCCAATCTATCGCCTCATGTTGCCAGGTGAGTCTATCCGAAAACCCTTTACTGAACTGTTCGATGCTGACGTACTCCAGCCATCTGAAGACAGTAGTGTCGCTTGTGTGGCACTTGGGTCACTTTATTAAGGAAGAGTATGGGCCTGTGAGAGTCCTCGGTGGAGGAACGGATGACCCCTAACTCCCAACCTCGAATTTGGATATGCTATTAAAGAATTTTATCCTACAATTCTAATCCCTACTCTAATCAATGCTGTTTTTTTTTTTTTTCTTCTAACCAAAGACTACCCAATCCCTTCTCACTTAGTTCCACCTTTTTCTTGTGTATGACATAGAATGGCCTTCACACACGACAACTATACGGTCGCATGGATCTGCGCCATTGCCGCTGGAAATGGCGGCTGCGAAGGCTATGCTGGATGAGGTTCACCCTCCGTTTCCCCCAGCCAGAAATCGACCACAATGTCTATACACTTGGGAGTGTTAGCGGCCGCCATATAGTAGTGGCCCCCCTACCATCTGGTGTGTACAGAATAATATCTGCGTCAACTGTAGTTTCATTATGGCTTGATCGGAGATCAGGTTCCGCTCTCTTGGAGCCTCCCTGCCAAGACTAACGGCCCGCAATCCAACCTTTCTTGGCAAGACCAGTGCGAAAAGAGAAACCAGCAGTGGAATTATTCCTGGCCTGACGTCATTTGATCGTTCCAATACGCCTCCATGATACCAACGGTACCCAATTGGATAGAGGGTTCGACCATTCTCTACCATTACAACCACCTTTTACTAGATAAGTGAGATCCATCCCAAACCCTCCCTTTGGGAACGATATTTGAAGAATGAAAGAGATGTTGATCTTATATAACCATCCAACGACCTTGCTGGCGTCGGATACGCATTATTTTTATTTGGAGAAGTCTCTGTTCAGTGTTCACCCCAACTGACCAAGCATGTCACCATCTCGAAAACCACCATCGCTCAACGATTCCTAATGAGGATGTCTTTACTCCGCGAAGTAAGGAAGCAAAGGGTTGACCTAATCAAGCAAGGTGCCAAGAAGGAATACAGTGCTCTGGAGTGCTGGCTCGAGGCCTGGTCGAGCCTTGGTATATAAAATCATAGTATGGACATATTTAATCCAGCCGCAGTAAAAGGCTTAACAGAGATCATCGTCTCTGGAAAATCCTTACGAATGTCCATCGTTTGCCGCCTGTGATAGGTTCAGGGTTCGATTTCATCTGCTTGTGAGGATGATTGTGGATGGGCAAGGGAGGAGAGGCTTCGGCTGGAGTTTGCTGTGTTGGCTTCTTTGATAGGGAATTTACGACTATTTTCCAGTCTCTAAGAGTGTTAGGGCTTCTATCTAATCTTAGGACCCGGAAATATAGGTTCTCCCGGGGCCGGTAAGCAGGGCCCACAACGCCGAGGAATTAGTAGTAGCTAGCTGAGATAGCTAAGAATGAAATGAAGCAGATGAGAAAAGCTCTCCTTCCACACACTAAGAGAATCTACAACTTACAGGTAGAATCGGAGAGGTCTGTCATCAATTTCTCTATGAATATTCAGGTAATATTATGGTCAGTTTAGCATGCTCATTATTCAAGATTGTAAGCAGTGGCTGTTAAATCCAAAAGGACTTTTGTAAATAACTTCGTATTGTCCGACATCTGATGTTCAACCTCCTGCGGCCTTATATGTAAGAGTATGCAACCCACCTATTTCAGACATGTTTAGTCCCGAGCGAGACACAGATTGCGATACTCCGTTCTTTCGTTGCTCAACTTTACCCCTAGACCCAAGCCTTCCGCACAATCAGCATCCAGAAAAAGCGACCACTCTCCGCCCAGTTCTATCAACAGCACACCCACAATCATAGCAATAGCTCTTGGCCCAAACATAGCCTGCGCTGGACAAACAAACGGCCTACTACCGAACGGAAAGAACGCGAGTCTCTGCTGTGATGTCAAGGCTCTCCAACGTCGTGGATCAAACAGTTCCGCATTGGAGCCCCAGATATGTGTCGCACTCTGCACCATCTCAATGTCCGCATTCAAGACCTCAACCGTATCTGACCCCACAGGGAGGAATCCTCGATGCACTCGTTTCGTAGGAGGATAGAGACGCAGTGCCTCGTTGACCAACATCTCTGCGGAGAGGTTTTGCTCGCCTTTTGGTCGCTCGAACTCATCCTTGGTGGGTGTGTGCGCGAAGGTAGCTAGTGTCTCGCGCCATTCCGGGTGGTGTAGCCCTGAGGTGTAGCGTACCTCTATGAAAAAGCGCAGAACAATGCGCCACATGGTCTCGAAGCCTGGGATGACCAGATTCAACGGGTTCTCTTTGGGATCTAGACAGTTCAAATTCCGGAACACGATACCAAGGGATTCTTGAAGAGGAATGTTGTCTTGAAAACATACGTGATCTGTCTTGCTTTTGGACGAAACCCATGTATCGTTAATAGCTTCCGCAAGACAGAGTAGATGGTAGTCCGGTATCTCAAGGGCCTCGGTTTCCATAGGGAATAGCACGCGTAATACCACCCGCAAGACCAATACTTGTACCAGGCTTGTTAACATGATACGTGCGTTGTCAGGACTGTCTGCAATTGCGTCGTCAATACTACGCCGTGCCGCACTATGCACAAAGCCTGACAAGGACTCCCAGGCTATAGGGGACAGGTTAATCAAGCTTTTAGCTCGTCTGATGAAGCATTTCGCCTGGGTTTCATTATCGGTGGTTAAGGCGTTTTCGATTCCGAATACAACATGCAATCGCTGGTTTGGAATGGCTCTAGATTGACGTGCGTTGAGCTGATTATGCATTTTCTGATCCAACCCTTTCCCCTCTATTATGCGACGGTATGTTTCGGGGTCGACATTGTGGGATATTGGTTTCTTTCGTTTTATGAGGAGCAGAGGGTACAGAGATGATAGCAAAATAAGTATGAGCAATACTATCCAAAGAGTTAACAACATAGCTCGGGTTAAACACTGGTGGATTATACGGCTGTATGTAGTATGGTGAGCGAGAAGGGGAACTAGGCAATGGCTCATTGATTTAGATATCAGATGAGTATATAACAAGTTAGGTAGAGGAGACAGAGCTGTTTAATTTCTAGTTGACCACAAAGTGCTCCAGACAATGCCCTTCACCTGTAGCGCCTGGTCTCTTTGTTCTCTCCAGCTGGTTCCTTTTGTTACCTGAGCAGTATAAATGTGGCATCAGCTCTACATAAACAGTGAATATAAACCTCATCTTTCATGGGATTGGCCCCTCATCATGATCTTCTGTTGAAATTGCCTAGTACGGCAGAGTATGGCTGACAAAAAGGTCAAGGTAAGAAATCCTGGCGTATTCCATTCGGCCACGCAGTTCCGGGCTATGCGCATCTGACTATTTTAGTGCTGGATAGGCAGCGTAACTAGATTTGCTGAATAGATAGACGGCAGAAAAATAGGGGGCGAACTAACCTAATTACACTGGCCCACAGGGATCAGCACGATCTTTTCGCACTCCAGGCACAGTAGATGCCCTATTCCTTCGACAGCTACCCAAACATTTATACTAAGCATAGTCACGGGATCCCACAACAACTACGTAGAATCCCAGGTCTTTAATCTTTCTACAGATAATCTGTTTATATTTTAAAGCTTGACAGAAGCTCCTTCTTTAACAGTGTCAGTACTGAGCAGTTTAAATTCTAAACTACTAAACTATCCAAACTGGACAAGTTAAGTCAAGAACGGAAGTCTAGATCTTCCAAGGAATTCCAAAAACAGTAGTTTCGACCCCATGCGATCGTAATCACCAAAACAGGAATAGCGGCTCTACCTCCGAAGTCAGAATGTATTCCCGCACATACAGCCGAATATACTAGAGGCCGCGGTGGTCTATCATTCCCATGCGCCCCGAAACATGAGCCATAAGCATAGTATGAACTACGGTGCACTCCCAAGCATGAGGATATTCCAGAGGAGCTAATAGATACTTTGTGAGGGGGCACTAGATACCATCTGTCATTCAAATTGCTACGTCTATGGTGCCTCTTTGACACTTATCGTATTTACGAAGCGCATCAATATGCTGTTAACATTCAACAGAGTCAGTTTAATCTTCAGCGTGCATAATCAATTAAATTTAGGGATATAGTTTTAGATAGGACGGTAGTTTTCATATTTTGTGTAAATTATGTGAAAAGCTCCAGGGGTATTGGTGGCCCTTGAGTTTTTTCATACTATCTTAAGGGCCCAATATCCGGGAAAGTGTTAGTCTAGCATGAGGCGTGGGGTATTAAACCTACATATAGTCTGAAATAGTGATATCAGGTTGCCCGCTCAAGTTATATTCTAACATAAGCTCCGAGATTCCTCGACCAAATCGTTCAGTTAGGGCGTGCATTCACTTGCCGACCTTCCGACAATTATTGACCTTTCGCAACGTACCCTTGCGTAATTCCGCTCCGGGTTTATCTCCGGAAAGATACCTTGCATCAGAAAGATGCCCTGGGTTTGTAGACACCTTTCGACTTGCTTGAAGCCTTGCCGATGTAACGCTGACATAGCGGCTACATGAACGAGCCTCGGGACCGCCAGAACCCTGGAATGCCTTCAGGATGTGATACTCCTTTCTTAGGATATTCTGCCTTGAAGGAAATACAACTGAAGGAGTCTGCTTAACAGAATATTGGCCAAATGGCCCGTTCCTTTGAGATGTCGATCCAACTAGGGAACGGTGCCTGCCAATTGGCTGTCAGCTGTTCATCCTGCCTTCTCCAGACCTCAGTTACGACATCACTGGCAATCTTGAAAGGTGCAAGCCCGCTCATGATATTTGACTTTTCCAGTAGATATCGGATAGATTCACGTTGTTTGACGGTTATGGCTTCGCAACCAGCAATAAATAAGGGCCAAAGAGTGCCTAGGCCAAGGGGATCCTCTAGTTTCAGCCGTCTATGGAATGCAAGCAAAGAGGTAATGACCTTCTCAACTTCACTTTCTAGGATGGCGGGATATGTTTGTCGAACCCGTCTGTGGAAAAATATGATCAAGGCGGAATTGAGTGCTCGGAGGATAAACGTATCATCCGTCGTTTGCTCACTGCGATGATTTGGTTCGGTTTCACGGGCGGCGTAGGCATGTATAACACCCTCAAGGCGCGAGGCACGCTCCTGCAATGCTTGATATGTATTGCAACTTATCATGATCTCTGTATTTCGTGCGTTTCTCAGGGTGTCCATGATGTTTGCCAGACGAGTCGTTTGGGATAACAAACTAAGCCAGATCTCTGGTATTCCATAAACCTGCTTTCCAAGAGTTTCGGTTGATTTCCTTGAGTCCTGGAGATGTATGTCTGTGATATCCGCTCTTCGGCATTTTAGTTCGTCGATGTTGAGGTCGTTGTCGGGACTTTCTATATGCAGAAAATCATCCAGACGAACGACGCCCTGGGTGTATCTTGGCATCGGCCGCTCTCTACTTGCTGTGGGTCCCTTTGATTGACAGTGAAGATTGAAAGTACTAAGTGATGACGTTGGTAACGTGTAATCATGGAGGACATAGGTACTTTCGCCTGCAATCCGAAGCCAGGTGTATACATTGAGCAGGAGACGCATCCTTCGTGAAATCCTGCGCTTTGGCAGTCCCCGTACGCGCAGGAGTCGCTCTGCATCGATAAGGTAACACCTTGCATCCCGAGGTTGACCGGAAAAGACCTTCGCGTTGTCAGTACGAAGAGGCAGGACAAGAAGTACATGCGAGACCTGGTGCTCCTACTGTAAATTTTATCATTCCATAAAGTGCCATCAATTGGTCTTTAAGCTTGGCCTTTTCTGATCCCCCCGTTTCCTCGCTCAACGATATTCGTATGTGACTTTTGGCTTCCCCGTAGCATCGCTGTGCAAGCCCTTCCCAATACTCTGCTGGAAAGCCCATCTTATCCGTTGACAGGTTGGCCGCGAGATCAATTGCCGAGCATGCGAGAAGGGAGTATAAATGTGCCTGTGACGCATGAGTAACAGCTTCGCAGTCCATTATCGTTAATGCTCCCAATGTAAGCAACGCAGCCGGCATGTTAACAATATCCCAAGGTGACTTCTTGCTGAGATGAACAACAGCCATCTGAGGTATAACCCTTCTTTGAAAGTGCTTCAGTAATTCAACGGCATTCTTTAATATATCTTCATTCTTGCACGACCGATGCGTCAAAGGCTGTTGATACGCAGTGTTTTCGGAAGAGATGTCACAGCCTTCATCGTCATCGAAGTTTGGATATGTCATTGATGACTCCTCAATCAAGGGGCCATCGAGATGCGACGCCGTTGTGAAATCAAAGGCAGATTCAGGGTCCAAGGCAGAATAGCCCGAAAACGCAGGGAAGTCGCTACCAAGGTCCAGAATATCGTCCCATTGCAGGAAAGAATCTACAGGAGCTGAGGGAATGTCTAGAACTGGTGGAATGCTCATATCGGAGGCCTGAACGCTGACGAGCTCATCTGCAGGTGGCTCTTCCACGGGATGTTGGACCTGCGCATCTTGCGATTTGACTGGGGCGGCAGAAATATGAAGAACAGCGAAAGGCCCAATTCTTGCTTCCCATCCGGATAGAAAGCAAGGGGTCTTTGATCTCGTGTCAATCTCCTCTAGGGAAGCATCGACAGAGCCTAAGAAGAGATCCTTGCTTAGGGCATCAGTCATCGAGCGCCTATCCTCTTCTACATTCAATGTCAGCGATTGGCCGTGCACGGACTATTGAACTATCCCCTGCGGAAAGGTGCAAGTACCCGTTAACAAATGATGCCTAACCCCAAACCTAGCGATAGGGCCAGCCTCCACATAGGTGGGTGAACGTTTTCGGGAGGACGCCCATCGAATTTCATTAGAAAACCCTTCGCAAGTTAGGCCTACGGCCGCGCATGTCTGGCAGGCAGGCCGTTGCGTATCACACCGAACATGGCGGCGTCTACAAGTCCTGCAACTGCCTAAGATATGTTTCCGACGAGCTCTAGATCTGGCCGACATGATTCTAATACAAAACAAGGGCATTCGACACTGTACCGGAATCTCTAACCCCGCGAAAGAGGAGAGATAATGAATGATCATGGATGGTCAGGTGACCGGATCCGCTTGCCCTAATCTACACTCGATCACTCGCGAGAAGTGCAAGTCATTCCGCAGACCAATTAGTTATTAGTGCTCGACTTGATCGGTCAAAATTTCCTCCTCGTACAACTGGTGTACTTGAACAACAACCAGCAAAGAAAGTTACTATGAGAAAAATAAAATAAATAAATCTATTCGGCGGGCGATTCCAACGCCCACCGTCCTACTTGTTGTTCCATCTTCTCTCTTTGAAATTACTGAATACAACGTTTATGCTTCATAAAACCTTCGGGTTTGTGTGTAGTATATTAGTAGATATTCCTAACAGGAATGTAATAACCATATACTAAATTATAAAGCTAGTGTAGAGATCCTGATAGATAGATAAAGGCAAGAAGCAGCAGAACAATAAAATATGTGCAGAGTCCGTCTCACACCAACCATATAATTTGATCAAGTAGTAATACCGACATTATTCAAGAGGAGAATCTTTCCCCGAGATAAGCCTTAAGGTACCAAAGACGAGGGGCATAGAAAGCATGGGTTTTCATCATGATCAAGGCAGTTGTACCTATCCAGCCAACCTTATGTGGAAGGATTAGAACACTTGTACGTCTTCATCCAATGCAACACAGAACCACGGATCTCCATACATTGCGATAATTAGGCCCCTCGTCCGTAGCGTTGCCGTACAGCATCAGTTTCAACGAGCGTCCCGACTATGTCCTGCGATGGATGTATGGACCCATTTGCTCACAGTCGCAATCAGGCTTGTACTTATTCCTTTAGCATGATCTGATATTTGTAGAGTGCGGGGTGGTAAGGATCAGAAATTGGGGCTTCATAGATCCAGCGCCTGGTAATAAGGCAATAATAAGTATACACAGATGGCTCCACTTGCAATTAGTTTGCGGGGATCACGATAATGCGGGGGGATCTCAAATGATATGATCTCTTCATTTTGGTGAGCAACAGGTTCCGATAGCCAATTGCCCCCTCCGGAACAAGTTGCCTCGTTACCTTGCAACAACCAAATATATTCAAACACTAACAACGAGTACTTATAGCCGCATCCATCCTTAGGTAGAAACCGATTGCGCATGCTTGACCACTTCTTTATTCTCACACAAGTGCACACTACAATTTCCACACATTGTCAAGTATGCCCACGACCACGATGGCTCAATCTCCAGAGCTTCAAGGGGTTATGGTTGCCCTCATCACGCCTTTCACGGAGGACCAGTCGGCAATCGATTTTGAAGCTCTTGATGCCCATATTAATCGCCTGATCGATGCCGGTGTCCATGGCCTTGTTCCCGGTGGAAGTACTGGCGAATTTACTGCTCTGACTACGAAGGAACGAAAGGACGTGCTCGAACAAACCGTCAACTCTTCCCGGGGCCGCGTGCCTGTCATTGCAGGAATCGGAGACCTTTCCACAGCCAAAACCATTGATCTGGCCAAGCATGCAGCGAAGGCTGGAGCTGCAGCCCTTATGGTAGTACCACCGTTCTATGACGCCGTGAATCTTGCAGAGCTGCGTGGTCTGTTGAAAGAAGTCCACGACGTGTCGAAACTTCCGCTTGTCTATTATAATATCCCCTCCGCATCTGGTGTCGTGTTAACTCCATCCGAGCTTGCCTCACTAAGCGATGTCGGGGTGAAATATCTAAAGGACACCTCCGGCAACGGGCCTGCACTGACGGAGCTGTTATTTGCCAAGGACATCAAGGATAAAGTGACTAGCTTCAACGGATGGGATACTTTGACGTTCTATGGGATGGCCGCTGGTGCAAAGGGCTGCATCTGGGGCGCGACCAATATCCTGCCAGAGTTGTCTGTACGTCTCTGGGATGCTATTTCTGTGAGGGGTGACATCAAGGAAGGCCGTGAACTGTGGAAGAAAATATTTCCTGTCTGTAAGCTGCTTGAGTCGGGAAATTATTCCGCTGGTGTCAAGGCTGGTATGGAATTGCGAGGATGGAAGACTGGTGGCCTGCGGAAGCCGTTTGTCATCCATCAAGGCAAATTGAAGCAGGAGCTTGCCACGGCTATTAATGCGGCTGGATACGATATTGTAGCATAGTTCATTTGAATTGACATCATAAATTGGCCGTATAACCTTTCTCGTTCTTAGTAATTGTAGTCTTTTCCCTTTGCAGCTGAATTAGCGGCTGGCCATGCGGGCACTCATCTTTCAAGAGATGAGATCTCGACTTCTTTTTTCCAGCACTTTGGACAACATAATGAGAGGAAGATATGAAGAACCATTAGTGGTCCTATGACCATTTGCAGGAGGCCGCACCGGAATAGGGCGCAGGCATATTATACACACTCGAACGATTGAGATATTTGATAGGCAAAGTAGGGCATAACGAAGAGCGGGGACAAAATCAAAGCTAGATAAGTCTTGGAGGGGTCTTGATGGGTTGAAGGGTTGTGAAGTAGTGGGCAAGAAGGAAATGTGCAAGTGGTTCCGAAATCAAGGCCCCCCCCACTTTTGCAACAGATAAATAAACATAATGGGAAAGGTGTTCCGTACCACACAGTATAGCCTCAGAAGCTGAGTATACATAATTGTACTCTTTCTCTATTCGCATTGCCAGTACTCTCGTAGGATGCTCAGCTCTATCATCTCAGGGTAATTCGACTACAAGATGTCCTTTCTTCCGCTCTTGTCCTTACCGATGCACAAATATCAGGCAAGCCCTTAGTATACTTACCTCCGCCAATTCGCTTGCAGGTATGATACGTTGATGATAGGGCCAGAGCAGCAATTTTCCCTCACCCGGACGTGAAAGGACAGTCTCTCCAAACAGAAAACTTCAAAGACTATTGGGCTCTAGCGCACCGAGATCCTACAAGTGGCGTGCAGGGCCGTCAATATCTCATGGCGGTTCTCCATGACTGGACTCTGGGTGAGACAGTGGACTTTCTGACCGAGGACCATGTCAACAAATAAGTGGTTAAAGCGACCGAGTTCTACGATGACTGGGAGGACGACTCCACCATCTGGTACAAATATGTTGTGCCGCGGTACCGTCGACTACCTGAAAGTGAGCTGTATCCTGGTGCAAAATTAGGCTTCACGTATCCCTGATATTCTCCGGTGGGTAAAGAAACTGTCTATGGGAAGACTGGAATCGCTTGACCCAGGGAGTGACTCAACAAAAGATATTGTGGCCTTTAGGCCAGGTAGGAAAGGAGGCTACCGCACTGAGTCCGAGGGTAAAGTTGTCGATGCATATGGATTTGGCAGCCTGGGGTTTGTCTACAGCTATGGCGCAGCCTTGAAAGTTCGAAAGTCGGTGGTAGAATAGAACAAATATAACACAATCACAGCGATTCGAAAAATGGAAATAACTTGCAGTCGAGAAGCCTCTGCATGACTGTTTTCCATATAAGCGAGATAGTAGTAGAGATGCCCACTATGAATTTGAGGGGTTAACGTGTGTAGGAGACCCCATATGACTGTGATTCATTGCTCTTAGCATTGGCCACATGTTCGGCATAGGCACCGGGTAGAACGAAGCTTTATCACTAAGTTCCGCTCGTGTGTCTACGAACTACCAAGCTGGTCAAGAAGTGATTTGTTCTGCTAAACACGGGATTTATCTTCTAGACCGGCAATGGGTAGACACGTGACCGGAGTCCTCATCTCGATTCCCGACGCGATTGTCCGCTTTTCCACTGCGCAATATGTCGAATGGAAGGACACAAACCAAAATCGCTGGAGCGCCAGACTACGACGATCCTACTTTCTGGGATAAGAGGTTTGCGACCGGCCAAGATGTGGGCGAATGGTTGAATCCTGGAGAAAATCTCGTCCAGGCTGTTCTGTCCGACTTGGACAACCGATCGTTTGTCCAAGAACGCGCCCCTCGAGTTTTACATCTGGGACCCGGAATCTCGAAACTAGGGACAAAGCTTCGCGATGCATTCGTGGACCGCAACTGGAAGGGCTCCGGCATTGTGGTACGTGTGCTCAGTACCGTTGGAAACGACTCTGCTGACGCTCGACTGTCATAAGAATGTGGACTTTTCCTTCGAAGCCGTCCGCCTTGGCCAGGCAATCGAGAGCAAACAAGACCCGTCGCATGCGATGCACTGGCTACGTGCTGACCTTCGGTCATGGAACGATATGTCGAGCTTGGCCCCTTGGGCACCCTTTGAGATAATCCTCGATAAAAGCACGAGCGACGCCCTCGCAACCTCCACATCCGCAACGTTCTCGCCGACCTCTATCTCACAAGACATTTGCCCCATGGTGCGTGACATTGTGAATACCCAGGGGGAAACAACGCTATCCCCAGTCGAGCTGTTGGCGCTACATCTTGTCCCATTGACCAGCGAGGGCACGATGTGGTTTACCCTATCGTACTCAACGGTGCGATTTGATAATCTCCCACGGCTGGCGAAACACTGGGATCTTGTTTCCCGTACCTCGCTCAAGGCGCCTCAAGGTCAGACTTCTTCATCTGCGTATACCCCTGAGGTTTTCCATTGGCTATATATACTCCGGCGGAAATGACTCCTTTGTCACGCCGAGATCACTACTTAACAGTCATAGGACTAGCATGAATTGGACGGGATTCAATGAAAGGTAATCTTGGCACTGTACGCTTGTACCTGGCGACAATTGTGATGAATGCTACCCTGGCAGTGGTCACAGATCGATTGACTGTGTCGGCAACGAGGTCTCGCAGCGACAACTTCCACTGTGGCAATAATAGCGCAAACGTATGGCTGCTAACTGGGGTGTTCTGAAACAACTCTAGCCCTCTAGCGTTATGCCGGTAGCCACCGACTGAAAACAAAAAAAAATGTGGTGGTTGCTATGGTGTAGTCACCAAAGACAGTGTCGCATCTGGGAGCCAAAGTCCTCGGATTTCTTCTTGGTGGGAGATTCTGAACCCCCGTGGCCCATAGTAGCTGCTTTGTAATGTCAAAGCGCTGTAACTAGTGACCGACCTCTGATCCTTTGTAAATTTGGTAAATTATTGATATGGCAATACCCAAATAGCTTTAAGGTATAGAGTCTTACCGCTCAGGGCAATTCCCCGCATTACCCTAGATCTCGCCTCCCGGACTTACCAACAGCCTTCAATATCTGGTGAAAACCTCTTCGACGTTGCATAGGAGGTAGTATAGTTTTCTATAGCGGCGATTGATCCAAAACTTAGACAGTTGAATAGTACTGATTGTCCACTGGTCGCAATTGGGGACTTTACAAGACCGACCTGGCCATTCTCGGGTGCTTATGCACGAAATATATATAGTGCTCTACTATCACTCTCCAACTCCATTTCCAGAAACCCCCACCAATTTTTATCCTAGTAGTATCGTACGATTGTTACTTGAAACTCACGATATACACCAAGATAATAAATACATCAAAAAGTTGCTCTTTGTTTAAAAATGTACACTGATAATTTTGATAGCCAACAACAGCTCTGGTAGCGCAAAGTTTGACGCGTAAGACCTAGTTCTAAGCCATCTGAAGGATGCGAGCGAGCCGAGCCGCGGCTCGTTTTAGTTAGTCATGTACCAAGCTGGACTCCTCACTAACTATTATTCGCTCTTACACAACATCTGTCAATATACGGCGGAGGAGCAGAGATTGTACGTGTTTTCCCACAACTGGGTAGTCCCGGCTACATTCCCACTGTGACATTCAATCCTCACAGCGCGGATGGCATCCTACCAGACGCGAGCTGCTTTGTATTTTGCTCGGCGTGGAATTCGGTGGCCGGGGAATCCGCCACGATTCTTGACACGTACTTAGTGCTACCCAACAATTGCCGCCGGATCAGTAGTCAATGTGGTCAACGGCGACTGTAGAGTGGCACTGGTCTCAACGCGATGGACGGGTGACTGTCATCAGGGGTAATCCTCCTCAAATAGTGCCTGCTCGGGACGTCACGGGAGTAGCAATTTTGGCCATGGTTCCAAGGCATCGGTGTCCGACCGCGGCGGCCAGACAACCCAGCCCACGACGATCAAGGGAGGGGGGTCGGCGCTCAGCCGTAGGCGTCAAGATCGTTGGATAGTTTTGAGGGCCGGTAGTGGTATTTATTTTCTCCATTGTTAGTCCTGGCAGCCGTTGGGCGTATCTCCATTTCGTTGCAGTTACCCCTGGATGCAACATTGGGAAGCAACTTAATTGACAAGGCTGAATGGAGGTGGCGCCGCCAATCGAATTGACACCCAATACGAAGGGATTTGATTTGCCGAGTCCTGAATGGATCAGTGCGCATGGGGATGGCCCGAGCCACCTTGAGAATGTTGGCTAATTTGGCGGATATTGATGGATCGACGCGCGCCTAACTCGGATGGGATTCCAGTATTGGAAAGGTTGGCCGATAGTTGCTCTGTAGATTGGATTCAACGAGTCTCTTTTCTCTCAAGTTGAAAGTATATGTCTGACTTTCGTTCCATTCTCCTTGCCGCTTCTCCTTTCGTGGGGGTCATCGAGTCAGGAGTGTCCACACATGTACAAAAGTATGGTAGGTGTATTCTTTGCACTTGTGTCCACAGCTTGGAGATATTTCCCTGGCATTTGAATTAATTTTAATTTGCATCGAGGGTCATTTCTATGTGGGTGCTAGTCTGGAGCAGATCATTTTAGTTAGAACTGAAGAAATAGTCCGATCGGAATATACAGGCGCCTCACATCGTATTTCTGCCGGTGGGTCAGGGTTTCCGATCTGGTGGTGGAAAGAAATTGCAAAAAAGGACCAACCGATGGACGGTTGGAGAAGGCAGGAAGGGTTTGCTCAGTTTGCGTGCCTGTCACGGGAGTTAAAACCGTGGATCCCTTTTTGGGGGCTATCAAGGCCAGCGTTCTGGGCGGTGAGGGAGGATTCTGCCAGGGGGAAAACGAGTAATCCGACGCCCCAGATTAGAACCATTTCTTTTCTCCTTTGCGGGGGGAGAATATTGCCTGATCCTTCATTCCTCTGTGGGCTAAAAAAGCGATGTCCATGCTTCCGTCCCTTTCTCCGAGCTTACTGCCAATCTCCGTGCTACTTGCATATGCTGGCTTTCTCAGTCACTGCAGGCGCAGTAGAATGTGATAGTGTCGCCACTGCTCCTGAAATCTAATTTCTATCCAGAATGGTTGGCGTTCCTCGCAGCAAAGGCTGTTCTCTATGTCGCAAGAGACGTATCAGGGTCGGTTTTTGTAACCCCCCCACACACCTCCCATCCCCCCCTTTTTTTTTTCTCCCTCGTCGTAAATATCCTCCGTTCTGGTCTATTATTGCCTGAATCAATCGTTAACTTTGATGAGAGTGATTAGTGTGATCAAAGCCGACCGCATTGCTCGCAGTGTCGCAAATATGGCGTCCCGTGTCCCGGCTATACACGTTCCTTGAAGTTCCAGGATGAGGGACCCCGTCTGGTGGAACTGTACCTCATTACCTCCCCAGATACGGATGGAAGTGACGAGGGATCGAGTCCAGTATCGGCCTCGCTTCCTGTAAAAGCTCAGAGGCAGAAGCGTTGCTTTACGGGTGCCGCCCTTGACGAGAGGATTTGTCCGTCACTAGCATACAAATCTTTCTTGGGTCAGCAACCACGCCTGTTCAAAGAATTTGTTTGTGCTTCGTTCCCGACCATGTATTATCATAATGAATTTCGGTTTGGGCCCGGTTTTACCTTCCCGGACAACGTTATCAAACAGTTTGGTTGCAAGCCTTACTACGATGCCACCATTATGTGTCTATCCACGGCTTGGCTTGCACATTTGACAAAAGACCCGAATCTACAACATGCAAGTCGAGAGAAGTACAATGAAGCCTTGGTCGGTATCCAGTATGCCCTGAAATCGGATGATTTTGCGTCGGACACCCTATTGATGGCCGTCATACTGCTGGCCTTTTATGAGATGAACGTACGCACCAGCGATGATGCTTGGCTCTTCCATGCCAACGCAGTGAGGATGCTGATGAAAGCCCGTGGTATGAGAGCTCATTTGACGGGCCCTGGGCGTGTTTGTCATTTTGCCTTCAGGCCGTTTTTGATTGGCGCTGCCCTCCAAAAGGGTGAATCATGTTTCTTAGATGAGGATTCCTGGCAGGACTTGGCAGCATCCTTAAGAAGTGAGGATTCCCAGAAGCAGGACGAGTGGGCTTTCTATATCGACGTGTATGAGACCATCTTCATGGAGCTCGTCAAGTGTCCCGGCTATATCAAGGAAGCCCGGCGAATCGTTTCGGTAACCTCACCCGAGGCCAGATCTTTGGCCCATCGGATTCGTACAACATGTGATCGACTGCGAAGATTAAGCAATGAAATGCGAACCCTACTCAGTGCACATAATCAGCGAAAGCAGGGTATCACACTCCGCTTCGTGGGACCGGAGCCCAAACTCTTCCCGGAAACGAGCCCTTCTCTTCTTCTCCGCGCTGGGATCGATGCCGTTCGGATCCTCGAACAAATCTTAGGTCAACTCACCATGCCTACACCGACCGTGGAACAGACCTTGATAATCCGTGATGGAGCGCTAACACCCGTGTCAAGCCCAGAAAGTTCTGGAGATGCGGAGAGTCCACCACCTCTCTCCTTTGGTTTGTCCTGTGAGCTCGGAAACGGTCCGCAGGCTTCGGTCGGTGATGATGACCAACGCGCTTTGACTTGGCTGGACCGGGTCGCCGGGGCAATGGGGCTGTTAGGAGCGGAAATCACGTACGGAATGAAACCGGGAATTCAAACCGATCTCGCTCTGCGAAATGTTCGGACGTTAACCCCTGTGGATGATGACCTCCCAGAACCTCGGCGGTCGTCGGACTGAGACAATAGAGCCAACAGGCTGTATTCAGTCACCGCCCCCAAGTCAACCCTCAATCACTACAAACGCAACGTGTGCATTTGAAATTCGGCATAGCCCCCGCTTCATCAGCGTTGGACGGCTACTTTCTCTGCGAGGCTCACCCATTACATTACCAAAATACCTGCATCAGATTGTTGCGCGTCGATACCCGCCCCACTACAGCATATTCTGCGTCACGTAACGGTCGCGCGCTACATACATTTATTAAGCATTGACGGCCATCTCTTCGTCTTATTTATCTTCCGAAAACAAATATACACCCGAAGCCTCCCATGGGAACACAATCGAGTTAAATAATCTCTCCTACTTGTGGGGCTGTCTCCTATTCTTCAATACTGGGATCTGTCTCGGCAACCTGGGGTGTCTGAGTGTCCATAACTAAATTGACAAGTTGGATGCACCCATTTCCTTCACATAATCATAATAGAACATTCGTTATTCGCTTCACCAGAACTACTGTTTACTCAACTCTTGGATCTCATCGGGGCCTAGCAAGCCCAAAGCCTGTCTCCGGGTAGGTGCGTTGGGATCAAAGAAAGGCTTCTCCGCGAGGGCTGTGACTCGAGTGCCATGCCTGGGCTCCGAGCCTTCGTAATCCCAGCTGGCATTATGAATGGTAATTCTGCCGAGTGTTAGTTCTCAATGGAAGAAAGATGGTAAACCAAAAGGAAGTTCACTAACCTGTTGTCCCACAAAGCACTAGTCCGAGGTGACCACTTGAAGCGAACTTGAATGTCAATATTCTTCTCGTATACATCGAACAGGTACCCCAGAATAACATCACTCTCGGCCTTGTCTAATCCGACAATGCGATGTGTCATTGCGCGATTTACCCACAGCGCCTTCCAACCCGTCGCCGGATGGACACGAACAATCGGGTGCTCTCGCTCAATATATTTTGGACCTGCTTCGGGGTCCTTGCGGTCTAGATAAGGGTGTGCAGATCGATAGATGGCTGTTCTTCCATCGATGATTTTACGGAACTCCGGGGACAACTTCTCGTATGCAGCATAGCCGCTGGCCCACAGAGTATCTCCGCCGATGGTCGGGACCGCATCATTGTGAAGATGCGTAACCCCTGCCGGTTGGCGCTCATGAACTAGGTCAGTGTGCCAACGAGACGCCCCACCCGGCCGACGATAACCTGCTGCCCGTTCCGTCGCTTGGAGAGCCGGCCATAAAACCGAGACGCCTGGTAGACCGGGTACCTGGGGTACTTGAGGCTACGGTGATAATATTAGAAAAGGATCTTGAATATGTGATACGGAAGGTGACAACGAACATGAACTTCGACCTCCCCGAAGTATTCACCAAGAGCCTTCTGTTTCTGGGGCGAGAGGTCCTGATCCCGGAAGAAGACAACACTCCGTTCCGCAATCAGTAGCCCCAGCTCATCCTTCTGTTGGTCAGTCAAGTCTTTCAGCTGCAGTCCCACAATCTCGGTCCCGATATGCCTGGTTAGGTGAATCACTTCTTTTGCTGCAGACAACAATGCCTTCTTTTCGGGGTCGGCACGGGTGCCGGGATCTACATGTGGACGGTCATAGTTTCGGATGTTGTAAACATCATCAGAGTACAGAGGTCGCGAAGGCCGATACGGATACCCATTGGAAAGATCGATTCCCGCTTTTATCAGCCGTTCACGGCTTGCCGCAGGAAGGGCGAGCGTGTCCTTCTGGGGCTCGGCAACGTCAACGATCCGGGGGTCGATAGGAGCTGGTGCCATTGTGCAATTGATATTTAGTTCATTCTTTTGTAGCAATCTATTGATTCACGACAGCTCTGTACCAGACACATCACAATACTCGTATTATATTCGATCTATGGGAGCTTGATTGATAATCTTGATTTAAGTCACGCGCGGAGCCGGGATCACATCATCGCCATCAAGCATTGCGCCTTCTACACCCCATTCGTCACATTTGAAGGATCCCGTACGGATTCCCACACTTGTAACCCCTCATCTCTCCACAAATCCCCTGCTTCTAGAGCGTCTTATCTCTATCCACTCTGGAGCTTGAAGTCGGCCACCTACAGCCCCTTCGATATCATCATACAGGGATCTGATGGCGACTCCAATTGTCTGATTTCCAATCGGTCCGTGCTTCTTGATCGGATATTGGCTTACAATATGCCATTAACACTCTCGACGGCACACCTTGCCGAGAGGATTAATATTGAATGGTGGCGCGTTGTTTACTGCCGCGGCTTGTGCCATGACACCACTCTAGCCTGGCATAACGTGAGCTGCGACGGCACTAGCCCCCTTACCACCAGCAGGGCAATCATAAAGATGTCCCAACTCACACATGGAAATTGCTCCAAAGTCCAAGCAGATACACAACAGTAACATTATGACTCGCACACAAATCCGTAAAGTGGCGGTGATTGGTGCCGGGATCAGCGGTGTTGTTTCCGCGGGACACCTCCTGGCGGCCGGATTTGATGTCACAGTCTTCGAGAGGAATAAGGTTGCCGGAGGAGTCTGGTACGCACCGCCTGGCATCCTTACAATGACTCCGAAATTTAACGGATAATACAGGCTGTACGATGAACGACAGCCGGTAGAGCCGCAATATCCTGCCACGAAGCCGTCGGAAACAGATCGACCAGCGAAAGATCGACACCGGAAGGAGACATTCGTGCTCGAACATGCGCCACCTGGGTAAGCCTCTCTATTATCGCGTCTCCTGCTTCCTGCTGACTGTGTAGTCCTTGTTATGAGGGTTTAAGGAATAACGTGCCCACGCCTTTGATACGGGTGAAGCTCAATGCGTGGCCAGAAGGAACTCCAGACTTTGTCAGCCACGATGTAATAAGAGACTATATTCAAGATACATCGCGGAAAGCCCGAGTTGATGACGTCACAATTTACGGAGCGCGAGTGAAAGACCTTCGCAAAAGTGGTGATAGATGGGAGGTTGTCTGGTCGACAGTTCACGAGAACGAGCAGTCGGACACGGTGGTCGAACTAGAGGAAATTTCGGTAAGCGACCTCATTTCACAAAGGATCTTATGGTATTGGTATTTACGGGAAATTCTGCAGATATTTGATGCCATTATTGTTGCATCTGGGCATTATCATGCGCCTCGCATCCCAGATATACCTGGCTTGTCGGAAGCGAAGAGCCATTGGGCGTCTCGAATTATGCATTCGAAGGGGTATCGAAAGTCAGAAGGCTTCGAGAACAAGGTCCGATCGCCCCGTTATATGAATATTCGGATCCTGACCAATCCTAGAATGTCCTCCTCATTGGTGGTGGAGTATCATCCGCGGATATCGCAAAGGAAATTGGCCCCGTCGCCAAAACTGTCTACCAAAGCACAAGGAATGGCGACTTCGATCTTCCCGCGGGTTTGCTCCCTGATAACGGGGTGAGGATTGGCGAAATATCACACTTCGAGATCGAGGGTAACAAGGGCACAATTTCCGACGACGAGGCTTTACCTTTAACCATACATCTGAAGTCGGGCCAGAAATTATGCGGAATCGATAGGGTTATCATCTGCACCGGTTACCACATCACGCTGCCTTTCCTGCGAGATTACCACAGCGACCACACGCCTGCTGAACTTGCTGATGATAGGATTCTGGTTACAGACGGAACTCAAGTGCATAACCTACATAAAGATATCTTCTATATTCCAGATCCCACCCTAGCCTTTATCGGGGTTCCCTACTACACGGCCACATTTACTCTGTTCGAATTCCAGGCGATTGTGGCGACACAGGTCTTTGCTGGAATTGCCAAGATACCCCCTGAGGATACTATGAGGTTAGAGTACTTGGCCAAGATCAAGGATGTTGGCAGTGGGAAGAAGTTTCACTCGTTGAAAGATAAGGAAGAATTTTACGTGAGAGATCTATTTCAATGGGTGAATGATGACAGGGCTACATACGGGCTGAGTCCCTTGGAAGGACACTCTTCTAAATGGCTTGAAGCCAAGGAAGAACATAGAAAAAGGATTGAAGGCCTGTTGCAGACCACAGGCCGGAGGGACAGTGGTGTCGGCGAGCTTCCGGTGCTGGCAGTATGTAGTTAACGTCGGCCTTGCTTTAACTCGCTCTATTATCGGATACTATCTCCAAGTAGGCATAATATCCTCTCCAGCTTTCCAGTAGATTACTAGCGACTGTTCGCTTATAAAAATGATATATTACAAGTATTGACCAAGCTCGCCAAATGTTAAATATAGCGGGATCCCGCCATTAGAAGGAAGTGCTCGGCACATCATCCACACTCTCGATGGCGAGCTCCGCAGCAACAACGAATCTTTAGCCTCAGTCACGTCACAGCTTCCCTGTAGGAACTGCCTAACGGATTATCACCATACTGTCTTCATTGGTTAGAGATTTCTCAGCATGACTCGAAACACTAATGTTAAATTTCCCCGCACCAAGCTGTACCACAATTCGACCTGGCCGTGCTGACTGCCGATGCAGGAATTGCGCAAACACCACTATTATGAGCAATTGGGACTCTTAACCAGTGGCCAGATCCCCAACTCTAGATCTGTGGAGCCAGTCTTATCTATCCTTTCATGAAAATAATACGTATTAGCCGAACAAACATGTGGAGGAAGTTCAGGCCTAGATGTACGGATATAATGTTTCTGGGGCCCTGGTCCCATTCTCTTTCATCTCAGTCTGGTCACCTGTTGGAACCCTACAATCTCAGGAAGATTCCTTCTTTTACCCAAGACAGGCAAAATGGCTCCATCACCAGCCATAGCAGAGGAACGAGCCGTTGATGCAACAAGCGATATCGTGCAGAAAGCCCCGAAGCGCAAATGGGTCAGTTATATCTGGGATACATTTGACAAGTCGCCCGAGGAGCGGAAGTTGATGTTTAAATTGGATTCAGCGATTTTGACGTTCGCTTCTCTTGGTGGGCTGTCCTCAGCCTTGTTTTATGAGTCGGTAATGATTAACGATAGGGATAGGATATTTTATCAAATACCTGGATCAAATCAACATCAACAATGCTTTCGTCTCTGGGATGTGAGTATTGCATATCAAGCCGTGGGAGACACCATTGACATATACTCAGGAAGGAAGATCTCGGGATGTACGGCAACGAACTTAATTATATGCAGGCTTGCTGGACGGTCGGCTATGTCATTGGGGAGATTCCGAGTAATATTCTTCTTACGCGGATTAGACCTAGATATTGGATTCCGGCTATGGAGGTATGTTCCCGGTCTATGAGAGAGTGTTAACAATTCATTGCTAATGGATGTAGTTACTCTGGACCGTGTTAACCTTCTCCATGTCGCGATGTCATACTTCCACTCAGTTCTATGTCCTGAGGTTCTTTATCGGTAGGAACCATTCACCACCTACGATATGATACAGACACTAACCTGGAAAGGCCTTGCGGAAAGTACCTTCTACCCCGGAATGCAGTATATCATTGGTTCGTGGTACCGGAAAGATGAGCTAGCGAAAAGGTCCTGTATCTTCCATACTAGCAGTGGTATTGCGAGTATGTTCTCGGGATATCTGATGGCTGCGGTGTATAACCTCGAGGGACGAGGCGGGTTCAGAGGATGGCAGTGGTATGGGTTTTGTTCCCCGTGTTTGAATGGTATTGTGGTAACGGCTAAGAGATGATAGGCTGTTTATTGTGGATGGTATCATTTCGCTCCCGGTTGCGTTGAGCGGATTCGTTATTCTGCCTGATGTGCCTGAGATTTCGAATCCGTGGTATTTGACCAAGGATGTGAGTTTTGCTACACATTCTTTAGGAAGTATATATGCTAACATGGGGCTTAGGAAGTGGCACTGTCGCAGAAGCGAATGCAGCTTGAAGGACGAAAGAATCGGGAGCCGTATACTAAAAGCAAGTTGAAGAAGATCTTTACATCTTGGCATATCTATCTTCTCACAGTGCTGTATATGTGAGTTACATCTCCATTAAATGATGAGTTCAGATGGACTAACAGACGACCAGAACATTCAACAACGGTGCTGCTGGATCTCAACCTGTTTTTCAACAGTGAGTAAACTACCTATCCTGTTGAATAAGTGGTATATGACTGACGGATACCAGATGGCTCAAGGACTCAACAGACCCCAAGTACTCCGTCGGCCAGATCAACGCCTACCCAACGACCACAGCCGCAGTCCAGGTAGTGACTACGCTTGCCTACGCCTGTACATGCCTCTCTCCTAGTAGCCATTGGTAAAAGAGGCTAATGTGAAACAGGGTCCTCCGACACATTCCTCAACGGAAGACGTTGGCCGCCCATCATCTTCGGCGCGGTAAGCAACCATCTTCACCTCGCCATCATTCAATCCCGAAAATAACCCAAGCTAACAACCCCAGGTAATAAACATAATATGCTACGTCTCCCTCGCAGTCTGGGACATCCCCAACGGCTGGAAATGGGCCTGCTATATTCTAGCCGGTGCCGGATACGGTCTAAGTGGACTGTGCATGGCGTATGTCTCTTTCTTGCCCATTCTCCCCAATTTCCCCCATCCACCTTCCAATCAATCCCATTCATCCACAGACCCACGAAACTGACAATTAAAAATAGCTGGGCCCATGAAATCTGCTCCGACGACAACGAAGAACGATCCCTAGTAATTGGCAGCATGAATGAAATGGCCTACGTGTTTCAGGCCTGGTTACCCCAAGTCGTGTGGCAGCAGGTTGATGCGCCGCAGTACCGGAAGGGCTTTATCGCTGTTTCGATTCTGTCGGTTATATTGATTGGTACGACGTTGTGGATTAGGGTGTTGGATCTGAAGGAGAGGAGGGTTAAGTGAGTTCTTTTTTTCTTTCTTTCTGTTTCTCTTTGTTCGTGTGAGTTGTGTTGGGTATTTGGGGGTATTTGCTGATTACTTGGTGTTTAGGGCTAAGACGCCACAGCCGGAGAGTGAGGAGAGTAGTATTTCGGGGACGGAGAATGGGGAACTTGGTCAGGAGGGGGCGGGGAAGATTTGATGTCAACATGCTTACAGATATGGGGATGTAAAAATGAAGGTATACGCTCAGCTGGTGCTGAAAAGAAGCATTTGGATTGCACATGAACGATACAGCAGAGAAAGTACCGAATATATAATGATGACTATGTTATGTGAATTGAGATCAGCTAAGGGCTAGGAGTCGTAAGTCTCGTAAAACTGAAAAGGTGTCAAAAATCCATTGAGTGACTTTTAAACTACTATTCAGGTAGAAGTATGCATTAAATCCCATCGAAAGAGCAAACCTACAAAACCATATTCCACTTCACCCTCTTCTCCTTCATCATCGCCAAAATACCAACAGGCAAAAACCGCTTCTCCACAAGGGTTATCCCCCCAAACCGCTTGAGCACGTCGTCCGAATAAAGCTGCAGAATCCATTTCATTTCGGGATTTTGGTCAGACAGATGGAACTGTCCAGAGACTGCATTAAGAGCATCGCGGCAGTCTTGTGTTCCTTGGATAGTCTTTGTATACGGGACCGTCATCAGGTCCTCGTATAAAAGTTGCAGGTTCTTGCTTCGGGATTCCCGATATCGGGTAAACTCCTCGAAAGTCATGAAGGTGTGCATCTCCGCCTCGGTGATAACTAAGGGTTCTCCTGACTTGGGCTTGGGGTTGACGGTTTCGGCGCGACGGCGACGTGTTTTCTCGGACATTTCGTCGAAGGTCTTTTTTGCGAAGGCGTACCTTCCATGTTCTCCTTTTTTGAAGCGTTCGATACGCTCAATCGGGGATAGGTCCACTGAATCCCGCATCAGAAGAACAGAGATGAAGGGGTTGCGCAGGCCTAAGCCACCAAGCTCGGCGGGGAGGAAGAAAAATGCGTCTGGGATGTCGGAGACCCCGAATTGTGATTGTATCTTTCTTCGTAGATGCTCTGTTACCATGTTGCCACCCTGCTCATCTTCTGCATTGAACAGGGTGTTTTGCATCTTCTCGTATGTGGAGAGGATGGCGTCCATATGTGCACGCCCGAAGCAGTGCGCAGGCTGACCGAACGTGTTCTTGAAGAACCGTCCGATGCAGCTGTTCCACGTCCGGACCCAGGAGATCACACTGCCACATCGACTGAGCTGGTTCTGGAGCTGGGTAACGTGTGCGTCAACCTGCGATTGGTCGATCTCCCAGGTTTCTGATTTTGCGTTGAGTGTTAGGAATCCGAATGTGACCGGGCCTGGTGGGAGGCGACCTGCGATCTCGGCATCCGGGGTGTCCGCGAGGTAGACTGAACCTGTTTTACCCCGGTTGAACTCTAGCCCGGTGACTTTCGCATACTCTTGCATAACTTCCCATGCCCTGGCACATTTGTCTGGCTTGCCACAGAGCCACAGGTCATCGTGGATGCGGTAAAGGAGCAGGCCTGTTTCTCTGTTGACGGCCAAATCCATAGGGAAGAGCACCAGCTCTCCGGTCAACTTCTCCATCGCGTGTGAAATGGGAACACCTCGCCTGCGAATACGAGGGCCAGTCTGCATCCGTCCTTCGGCGGAATGATCCAAGTTCAGTGGTGCTGCGAGGTACTTTTGAAAGAAAGCGAGCCATTCTTCCGGGAAGCCGAAAAACTTCATAACGGCGAGGATAGTACTGTGCGGCAGTGCAGTGGCGTACCATTTCATGTCCGACTGGACCACCGCCGCCTGTCCATTGATTTGACGTTCAAGCAGGACCTGAGATGCGACCTTCCGCAGCAGCTGCTGTTTGATGTTCGACGGTCCATCGATGCCTCTATCTGCGCCGTCCTCGTTGTTCTCGTCATCGTACAGCATGCCCCGTTCCGATAAGGATGACTCAGTCAGAGGCATGTGGAACAGGAAATCAGACTCCAGATAGTCATTCTTCCGCCTCGTTTCGATACTACTTCTTATGTCATAATCGCTTAGGTAGAACTGTCGACGCAGGCTGTCCCGCTCCGTCATTTGTGGGCTTGGATGCCAATTCCAGACCGATTTCTTCTCGATAAACTCTTTCAATATGGTTTTAATTATCGAGCACAACCGGACAGCAATGTATTGAGCGAAAATAGTCTGAAGAACGTCATCATCGATCCAGATCCGGTATTTGCCGTTCAATTGCTGGCGAGGTAAAACCGGGATCCCGTCTTCAGCATGCCAGTCCCAGTTCTTGAGGTCTGCATATCGCATGTTCAGAACGTCCGCAATTTCAGTCAATGCAACAGTATTTTCCAGACAGTATTTGAGTATCCCTTGTTTTTCTTCGCTGAGAAGGTCCTCCGTCAGGAGTCCGCGGATACAGGACCGGATAGAATAAATGTTAAACGGGTCCGTTTTATACCAGAGCTCAGAGCATTCATGTCTAACCTTCTTCCGGAGATAACCCAGAGCAATTCTGCTATCCTCAGTGGGAAAGAGACCATGAATAAACGCATGAATCTCATCTTCATCAGTCTCCAAAGGAGTAAACACCACCCTCTCAAACTGATCACACAATTGCTGCAACCTTTGCTTCTGTCGCTCCTCGACCACCAAATAATCCTCCTCCTCCTCCTCATCAGGAATCTGATCCGACCGAGACGAAGGCTCCATCCACTCCGTTAGAAGCCGAGAATACAAATCCGCAATATTCAGCCTCCTACTCTGAGCATCCAGCGTGGCAATGAGATGTTCCTGGAACGACTCGAGCTTCTCCTGCGGAATGGAAGAGTCATACCGCGCCTGGTCTAGCCATCGTTCGATGTTGGCTATTTTGTTATCCTTTAAGTTGTCGTTCTCAGAGCGGAGCGCTTTTAGGCCGTGCAGAATACATGCTACTCTGTCTCGGGGGTCTGGTTGTTGAGCCGCCGAGGTGAGGATTTGGGATTTTTGGGATTCAAACGCTATGCGTTGTTTCTCTAGTTCGCGGATCTTGCTTTGGGTGAGCGATTGGAGGGTTTTGGAGAATGTTGAGCCTGTTGTGGCCATTGTGGGGATAGGCTTGGATGAAATTGAGAAATGGAGCAAGTCCTAAGTAACTAAATGACTAAATAATTGCTAGTAATGAATGAAATGTTCTTCGCTGAAATCCATATCTTTCTTCGTCGTTTTTAATACATCGTGGGTGGGCTTAGGCAGCGACGGCTGCCTGATATGATCGGCCTGATCCCTTGCATTTTGCCCAGTCAGGAATCTCGGAACGGAGGAATGAAGTTAATCGCTCCGTCCCTGGGAATGGACTAATATTGGTGAGAGAAAGATGCCTGCGACCTTTGTCGGAGATTATCGCCGCAAGAATGGCATAGACTAGGCGCCCAGTATCCATACACATATACACCGTATCCACGCTTTGGGGTGCTACAATGTACGTAGACGTGTTCCGTGACCATCCAATCCCCATGACAGATCAGGGAAGTATCAACATTGTCTGTTACTTCATATGACCTCTCGTGTTCCCATGAAGTTGCATATCTAGTCGACTAGCCCAACAGAAACGGGCGACCTTTGTAGCCCTTTGATGTGAAAAGTTCTCTCTTCTCATAAGCGGAAACATAGCCCGGAATGCTGGGACTACTAAGAACTATCTGCCTCCGGCAAGACGTGTTGGTCATATCCGCCCTGACCATCTCCTCGTGGATCGTAACTAGTTACGCCGTGATTCTCCCATACAGGCGGTACGTTCGGCTCGTGGCCCTTTGTGGTTTGACCGCGAGCGCCGGCGGAGCAGCCTACTACAGAGGGGTTACTGCTATCCCTGGATACGAGCCTGTCTTTGGTACAGTCCTATCTTTTCTCGCCCTACGAGGTGTGGAAATCCTATATCTCCGCACTTCTCCGCAGAATGGTCACGTACCTCACGCAGAGGGCGAAACGGATCATAGCATGCCTCACCCATTTAGGCAGGGGCTGAAGCTGCTTCTTGATACGAGAGACGTGGGAAACCAGTTCCAATGTAGAAACCTGCCTACGTTTGGCCATTCCAACGCCCTGCTCGTCCCAAGAAAATCGAACCTCCTTCCGTGGTCAATATGGACCTGTCTTTTGGGGATCCCATACGTCTATTTCATAGGAGCGACATATGTGATGGACATACCCCACTTGACTCTCCGAGACGGCATCCCCTATATTCGACTTGAAGACACGACCATCACGAGAACAGCCTCACGGGCTGCATTAAGCCTTGGTTTCTGGGCTGTTGCCTACCTCCACTTGCAGATTCTCTATGCCACAGTTTGCATGGCGACTATTTTACTCTTCAACTACCCGGAAATGTATCTCCCACCACTTTTCGGTCCCCTCACGGCAATAAACAGTGTTCGTGGATTCTGGGGGTGAGTGTACTCGAGACAAGTTAGCATGACATCTACATCATTTACTTCTAGCCTAGCTTACACCTCTGACATCGCAGAACATTCTGGCAGCAACTATTTCGGAATCCACTCACAGCTACAAGCCACTACCTGGTTGAATGCATGCCAGGAATCCTAACTCGCTCTCACATAGCAAATCGATACTGCAAGATTGGTCTACCATTTTTTCTTTCTGGGCTGTGACATGTGGTAGGGCATTTATCGGGTGAACTGGAACCTAGATACTATCATGTGATGTGGTTCTTTTGTGTTCAGACCCTGGGGATATTCATTGAAGATGCTGCACAATACCTGTTCACTCCTGTGGTTGGACTGAACGTCTACGAATATTCTCGTTTCAAGTCATGTATTCCGCTCTTTGGGTATATTTGGACGATTTGCTGGCTGACGTGGACGACACCGGTCTACTTTCTTTCTATCATTAGAGATTTGAGTCTTTGAATTAATTGAGTGGCTTGGATTATACCTAAACTATCGTCGATGAAACATAAAGACAACTATATGCTCCCTCATGCTCCACGAGGCTTGGAAGCTATTTAAGCTCCAATGCTTACGAGTCTAATGGACCCACTGTAACCAATGGAGTACATGATGTACTAGTAGTCTGGTAAAGTATGCAGTAAAATATCTGCAATATCACGGTAAATACTTGTCCACTGGCGGTGAGAGACGAGAAAAGTTCGGGATTGAGGTGTAGATGAAAGGACTGGATACCTGGCTCCCACTGAAGTAGTTCGACTGGCATCAAAGTGATGGTGGCACCGTATACAGTATGGGTATGTCCATGCTAGACGGACCTGAATCAGGCACTAGGTAATCTCAATTGCCGCGAAAGTGCACTTCGCTGAGGGAGAATGGGAATCCTGTAAGTGTAACTAATTTCACGAAGTAGTAACAGTGCAAAGGTATAACCGGAGAACCTGCAACGATATGTACAAGAATGACGTATAGAATTATGGTCGAAGGAGAATTGTGTAAATTACTTCTATACGTAGGAGGTAACAAAACGCGACCATTCTCTAGGATATTGACAGTTCGAAAACTAACCTCATAGTGCTTTTGTTTAGTGCTGTCTCTATATACGGGATTCCAAAGATTATGTGCTCCGTCCCATACCCATCGCCGTCCGTCGTGCAAAATGGTGTATTCTGCGGGATTCCCATCTCCTCTCTTTAGGCTGCTTCTGGCTTGGTTTTCAGTTGGCTTTGGGTCTTATGGTGATAGATCGACCTAACTTCCCCGTCGTCTGTGCTTTGTTGACTAACGCGAGAGATACGTCAACAGCGATAGCTCACCGGAACCAGTTCTTGACTTGAATAGACATTAGGACCAGCAGATTCACCTGCGCAAGACGTAGGCGAGTAAGCAGGGAGCTTCCCGAGAGATAGCTCTCTTAGAGTTATGATCGGATCGTTCGACAACCCACCCCTCTCTTATAGAAGTACTATCAATCAACTCTGGACCAAAAGTCGTAATACACCTTGAGCAACTCAGGGACGGGCTTGAGTACGATGATGTCCGGATGATCGGCCATCGCTTGGCGGAGGTTTTCCGTGCCATAAGCAGCCATATACTCCCAATCGTCCCACCAAATCCTGTGATCGACTAGTCTCTCTGCTAGAATAGAACTGGATACTTGAATTTGTGAATCTCGATGTTTGGTAAATCTTTTCATCCATTCGGCGGTAGGTATGGAAATGAGAGGAGTAGGGGAATACTCGCTCAAGATATTATAGACCTCCCCAAGGGTTAAGACCTTGTCTTGATCTGGCTGAGTGATATTGAAAGCATGGCCGAGGCTAGCTCTATTTAATGAGATCCGGGATATCGCTGAACAAGCAAAGTCTACCGGTATACAATGAAACCTCTGCTGTGGTGGATGAGGATAACACCCAAGCCGAATACTGTTAGCCATGAGTCTGTTTATAATATCCTCCTTCTTACACGCGCCTGTGCGGCTGTGGCCAGTAACAATTGATGGCCGGTATATGGCGATAGGGAAACCATTCTCAACGGCATCCCAGACAATACTTTCAGCGACAAACTTGCTTTGCGTATAGCCAATACTTTGCGCCACATTTTGAGACTCGACGCGAGGTCGGACATCCTCAGGGACGGGGCCAATAAGGTTTTCGGTGATACCACACGCGGAGATACTAGAGCAATAATGGATAGGCTTCAATCGCTCGGTATTGGCAAGCCGAAGGGTTTCGAGAAGCCCTAGGACATTCGGACCCCTGTGAACGGAGTATGGCAAGGTGTAATTAGCATACCCTACAAAATGAAAGATCACACTGGACCACTGTGCTAAGTGACTGAACGTTTCTGGTCGTAGACCGAGGTTCTTCTTGGCCACATCGCCAGGGATTGCGATAACCTTGGATCTGAAGTCTACTGGAAGCCCGTACTTGGCGAAGGTTTGTCTGATCCTTGTATGGCCCATGTCCGACGTATTTGCCCGAACTAAGCATGCAATCTGCTTGACCTGCGGTAAGGCGATAAGTTCCGACAGTAGGAAGGCACCAAGGAATCCAGTTGCGCCAGTGAAGAAGACATTTCCTTCAGACTCAGAGGTCCAATCTGGTATGTTGCTAGAAATCGGTCGCATTGTTTGACCAAGCGTCAAGTCATCATGGTAACTCGGCTCTTCCTCTGCCCCGTCAGAGTCATCATCTTTGCCTCCACTGCCTTTGTGACCTTTGCGCGTGTGCTTGTCGCGGAGCTTCTGAACAGCGATCTTACCCAGTCCACCGACAGTCCCTGAGTTTGAGACCTCTACTAGCGTAATCTCAATTCCAGCATGGCGGCGGAACCAAGTACGAATCTCGAATGTCATCAATGAATCAATTGGAATATCGGATAATTCCTCTAGGGTGATATCTTCTGGTCGCGACGTGTAGGACGCGATTAATCTTCCAAGTTCAAAGACAATTCTCTCCTCCGTCTCTGGTTGATCGAGCAGCGACGGATTGTTCTTGATGGCTTCCATGTGCTCCCTAAGCTCATCTGCCCTGGAGCCCTCTGTAGGCTGTTCCATGGTAGCAATTATGTTCTTCCATATACCAAACCGCGCCTCTTTCATCCAGTCTGAAGCAAAGTCCGCGGAAGATAGAGCCCGCGTAGTTCCAAGCCCTACAGCGACCTGATTTGGGCAATGAAATCGTTGGGCTAATACCGCAACCTCGACTGCTCGAAGGAATTGCCGCTCGTCTAACACTCGTACTGAATTTGATTGCGACGCTTCCAACGACGGTACGAGCGAGGCCTCTGACGCGTAGCCAATGTCCCCCATAAGGCCGAGGTCAATTGCATGAGCCGGCAAGTGCAGTGACTGGCGATATTTCACAAAAGCGTCCAGAAAGGTATTTGCAGCGCCATAGTTGGCTTGGCCGGGCCAGCCAATGATGCCTGCCATTGAACTGATAAGAAGGAAGAAGTCTAATGGTTTATCCTTCAACACGTGATGAAGGTTCCATGTTCCTTTAACCTTGGGATACAATGCGGCCACCCACTCTTCGTGAACCATATAGTGTAAACTTTGATCCTGTGGGACAAAAGCCATCAGTCAATCCGTAGTCTAACGAAGTCAGTTTGGAATATGTACCTTTAAAACCATTGACAGTTGGATGACCCCTGCAATTGGTGTTTTCGACGCAGAAACGGCACGCCGAACGTCGTCAATGTCTCCTACATTCCCTACAACAGTAGTCGCATCACAGCCCTGGCATTCTAAGGTCTTTATAAAAGAGCTACTTTCGGGGGTATTTGCACCAGTACGTGAAAGGAAGACTAGATGTCTAGCTCCCTTTTCAACCATCCAGGTAGCAACAGCACGGCCGAGACCTCCAAGACCACCGACGAGAAGGTACGATGCGTTTGCCGGGAAATATGCGACCATCTCGTGAATGCGAGCAACTGGAAGCGTCGACGGAAGCTCTGGCATTTTGACGACAATCTTCCCCATGTGCTGTCCGCTTTGCATATACCGGAAGGCCTTTACTACATTTGCAGCATCGAATACAGTAACTGGGCTGATGGGCCCCGCCTTGCCTTCTTGAAAGTATTCCATGACACGTCCAATCATTTCGTGTAGAGCTCCAACATTTCCATCAATGACCTGGAGGAGGTCAACTCCAATAAAAGAGCGGTTATCAAGGAACCTGTCCATCTCCAAAAGGCCGTGTCCCAGAAAGTCTCTTTTCCCAAGTTCGACCATTTTGCCGAACTTCGCAACGCATTGCCAAGATGCATGGAGCAGGTCACCCGACAAAGAGTTGAGGACCAAGTCGACACCGCGACCATCGGTCTTGTGTAATACGCCTTGCACGAAAGACGAACTTCTAGAGTCGAATATATGGTCAGCGGGAATCTTGAAGTTGTCTATGAGATGCCGAGCCTTCTCGTCACTGCCAACAGTCGCGTAGATGACAGCTCCAATTAGCTGACATAGCTGCACCGCACCAAGCCCCACCCCACCACACGCAGAATGTATCAGCACTGATTGCCCTTGCTTGAGGCCGCTGGCGTTTATGAGAGAGTAGACCACAGTACCGTAGACACAAAGTATCGTGGCAGCACCCTCCAGCGAAATATTGTCCGGAATTGGAAGACATCGTTCTGCTCGTACCACCTTTCGAGTGCACATGAGACCAAGCTGGGAGACCATGATTCTATCACCGGGTGAAAATTGGTTGATAGTAGATCCCACTCGTCGCACAATTCCACTAGCTTCCAAGCCGACCTGGGCCATATCCCCCATGAGGCCCATCACTACCATCAGGTCCTATTTACGTTAGATTGAGTGCCATATGTCAAGTATCATGGCATGCAATTCTCACCCTAAAGTTAAGGCCAACATATTTGATATCAACTTCAAGTTCCTCCTTCCCCAAGTCATTTGGCGTTATCTCTGCACAAGTCCACGTCAGGGAACCAAGCATTGCGTAAGCCTCAACATCCAGTACT